TACGGGTTTACACTCTGAGACGGAGCTGGACATGACTTATTTGTAAGGTAGGTGCTTGCACAAGACTAGAACACATTTTGGCATGGTACCTTTGAAATACCACTGTCAAGAAGGCACCCGGTGCTTTTCATTCCCTTTTGAGGTTTCGTTGTGCTCATTGAAGCAAACAAGTTCGTCTACCATAGAAAGCTCCAAAAGGAGAAGGAGATGACACGCCATCAAGTGCCCATCCCCAGCAAGAAAGGCTCAAGCGAATTCCATTTCTGGCAGTGGCTATTCAGGCTAGTTGCACTGCCACTAAATCTTGCAAAGCTGGGACAAAATGGGTAGAGCCGCAGGATGCAGTGAAATGCTGCGAAGGCCAAAGATTCAAATACCGCTACTACTTATCACTGGTCTGCCCATAAAGGCTCCTGAGCTACATCTCTCAGCAGCTGCAGAATGAGAGTTGCATCTTTGTACTTGTCCTGGTCAGGGGGATACTTCAGCATATTCAGCTCGCACTGAATGCATTCTCGGGCAAAACATGTCCCTGAACGGCACAGGTGCCTCAAAGTAAATGTCCATGAAATGCACTTAACTTGTAACCCTGTGGCAGGCAGCTTGCCAACTAATGCCAACTATATTACGCGTCCAACTGCAACGTGTTGTTTAAAGTAAATGTATTTGTGCATCATGATGCACGCAGTACCTTACAATTGATGACATGTTGAAATATGTGTTCACCCTTTCATCTGCCCCATATCTGCCCCATATCTGCCCCATATCTGTCCCATATCTGTCCCATATCTGTCTATCCGTCCCTCTGCGTGCCTCTGGTATGTAGTCCAGCTGTTGGAGCGCTGCGTCATAGGTGCGGCGAGCTTTTCTGCGAGCAGCTCTATGATCGTCATCCAATTCAGCAATCAGAATGGAGTAATTCAGAACCACGGCCAGGCGAATTGGGTTGGTGATCTCCAGGTCTCTCTCTGCTAAAATCTCTGCCTGGTCATACTTCCAACGAGATAGTTTCACAGCCTTTATTTTAGCTGTTCCCTCCAGAATCTCAGCCAAATGTCTGTAGTAGTCCCCTTGCATCTTGTGGTAAAATACGATGTGCTCGGAACCCTCCGTCTGCAAAACAAGCTGCTGCACCATTCCCAGAAGTTCACAACAAATCCCCTCCGCTTCTGCTTTGAGTGTCATACTGTACTTTGTGGCACAAGTGATCTTGTCCAAATTCCCTTCGTTTTCCTCTTTGCAAATGATCTTGCTGATAGCTTTCAATGCAGAACGACGAGGTGCCAAGGAGGCTTTGTATGCGGCGGAAAGGAGATTCCGCTCTCTCTCCGAGAGCATTGGCGTCGGCTGTCGCTCAGTGGGCCTTTCCTGACACCCCTCCTGTCACTTGGAGCGTTTGGAGCCACAGTGGCCACCATTACAACAGCAATTGAAACAACAAATACCTCTTGACACATCTCTCGGAAAATCATGAGACTTGTAGGGGAATCTTTGAAGTCGGATCATGTACTGAATCATGGTATACAATGACATCAGGTTAAATATGTTAACTATGTAGATAGATAGATAGATAGATAGATAGATAGATAGATAGATAGATAGATAGATAGATAGATAGATAGATAGATATAGATAGATAGATAGATATAGATAGATATAGATAGATATAGATAGATATAGATAGATATAGATTGATATAGATTGATATAGATATAGATAGATATAGATAGATATAGATAGATATAGATAGATATAGATAGATATAGATAGATATAGATATAGATAGATATAGATAGATAGATAGATAGATATAAATAAATAAATCATAATAAATCAGTTGGACATGTTTGACTCGTAGAAATTCGTTGGTGCGTCCTCGTCGCCTCGCAGGCGCTGCTCCACCAAACATTTCACGTGGCCGCGCATGTCGTCAAATCTCCCCGCCGCCTCCGCAAGCTCGGCCAAAAAAGCTGCCATGGCAGCGTGGCAGCGTGGCAATATGGCTTCAGGTCACGGGTCAAAGAATCTACATCATTGAACAAATGTAGCAGTATAATAATAGTAATAGATAGAAATAGTATAAAAACAATTGAAAACACGTGAAATATTTGAAGTGACCGAATCCCATTTAGGGGGTTCTCCAAGGTGTCAAAAGATGTCAAAAGATCTCAGAAGTCACTAGATCATACTAGATCTAACAAGAAACTCGCGAAACAAGGAGCGTTCTGGTTGTCATGGAATTGTGGCAATAGTGCTACTGCATTGCTGATGCTGCAGGGTGTTCTTCCAGGTTCGAAATTGGCGGGATTCATAAGGGCCCGCAACTTCTTGAGAGGACTCACTCTTCTTGAAAATGAACGCTGCGACCAGCCAACAACTTGATGATCTTGCTACCTGCTGGAAAATGCTGGAACAATCAGAACAGGTACAGCAAGCGCTGGTGCAAATGTGAACTCAACACCGCTTGTAAACTTAGCTTAGTGCCGTGAAGCGGTGCAGCAAGCTTGGAAGCCGGTTCGGTGATCCTCAAAGTCTCAACGTGTGTGGTCTCTCTCTTTTTCTCTCCCATCGCCTTGAGACCAAGTCTGCCTCAGCCTATCAAAGTGTGTTGTGCATGGTCTGTTAATATATGTGTATAATATATATATAATATATAATTAATATATGTGTTAACAATTGTTAACATATGTATTCTCTGCGTTTGTGCGGTCCAAACCACTGGGTGGAAAACGGTGCCTATGTGCCCATCACATGTGCCCATCACATGTGCCCATCACATGACACCACGTGAATCCAATGGATCCGTCATGAGTTCTCAAAGAAATGGATAGAAATGGATAGAAATGGCACCAGTCGCCTTGCTGAAAACATCTGAAAACTAATGTTGGATGGACAATAGTAAAGCGCGTGCAATAGCTACAAATAATTTTCAGAATCTGATTTTTCAGCCCCTATTGATTTTAAATTAGGCCTTATTGATTTTAAATTACAAACATCAACCTTGGTCCAGAGCATCTGCAATAAATGTGGTTCATTCGCAATAGCTACAAATAATTTTCAGAAAAATCCAAAATTATCAGATTTTCCAATACTAAATTGTAAAGGAGCTAATTGAGATTTAGTAAGGATGCAGGAAAAAAAACAGAACCAGTTACAGTTCAGCTGTATTTTTTTCCTTCTTCCTTAGTGTTTTTAATTGTGGTTGAATGGTTTTTTAATTGTGATTGCATGTTTTTCAAAAGCAAAAACAAAGCAAACCTTTACCAAATCAAAAACTCTACCTTGTTCAAAAAAGTTGTTTTCTTTATTAAAATCCTTTTAAAAAATTGCAAAAAACAGGTCCACAAAGGGTACCCCCTTGCAGGCCCTTGCATTTGCAATTAAAAACTGGAATTAGCACTTGCAATAAGAAACAACCTTCCTGGCTCTAGCAGGCATTTTTTCCCTTCTTCCTTAGTGATTTTAATTGTGGTTGAATGGTTTTTAATTGTGATTGCATGTTTTTCAAAGCAAAAACAAAGCAAACCTTTACCAAATCAAAAAATTTTACCTTGTTCAAAAAAGTTGCTTTCTTTATTAAAACCCTTTTAAAAAATTGCAAAAAACAGGTCCACAAAGGGTACCCCCTTGCAGGCCCTTGCATTTGCAATTAAAAACTGGAATTAGCACTTGCAATAAGAAACAACCTTCCTGGCTCTAGCAGGCATTTTTTTCCCTTCTTCCTTAGTGATTTTAATTGTGGTTGAATGGTTTTTAATTGTGATTGCATGTTTTTCAAAGCAAAAACAAAGCAAAACTTTACCAAATCAAAAACTTTACCTTGTTCAAAAAAGTTGTTTTCTTTATTAAAACCCTTTTAAAAAATTGCAAAAAACAGGTCCACAAAGGGTACCCCCTTGCAGGCCCTTGCAGGCCCTTGCATTTGCAATTAAAAACTGGAATTAGCACTTGCAATAAGAAACAACCTTCCTGGCTCTAGCAGGCATTTTTTTCCCTTCTTCCTTAGTGATTTTAATTGTGGTTGAATGGTGTTTAATTGTGATTGCATGTTTTTCAAAGCAAAAACAAAGCAAACCTTTACCAAATCAAAAACTGTACCTTGTTCAAAAAAGCTGTTTTCTTTATTAAAATCCTTTAAACAAAATGCAAAAAACAGGTCCACAAAGGGTACCCCCTTGCAGGCCCTTGCATTTGCAATTAAAAACTGGAATTAGCACTTGCAATAAGAAACAACCTTCCTGGCTCTAGCAGGCATTTTTTTCCCTTCTTCCTATCAGAATCCAATGAAGATCCCATCAGAGCCCATCAGAAAAGAGAGGATGTGTCAAAACCTTACAGAAGCCTTTGGGGAAGAGTTGGGATTTTCGATTTACTATTGCAAAGCAGACCCCCCCCTAAAAAAAAAAAATAGGGTGGGACGCCCCTTTACTATTGTCGATGTAACATTGTCTGGCTCCCAGTGACCCAAGTCTCAAGTCCCATTCTGCAGCCACGCTTCATATCCACTGACGGCAGCCATGAAGGACTGATTTCGGCTTTGCGATACGCGCGGCGTTCAATTCATTCTGCTGTGGTGTGGTCTATCAGTAGGAAGGCAAATGTTGCCTTTTCTGTCATGTTCAGAACGCTCACTTAGGCCAGCAATGGGGCATGCAGGGGCGTTGCAAATTAACTTCACAAACTGCATTTCTACAGGCTTTGGAGAGATATGCTGACTTCGGAGAGTGCCACTTTGTCTCTTTCATCTTGTTTCTGCCATGTTTGCTAATACGAGACGGATTGAGAACCCCCCAAATATTTGCAATCGTCTTCATATTGTGTTCATTGCGGAAACTAATGGGAAATGGAACTGCAAAATAAAGCAGGCGCAGAAAGACACATTCTTCAAAGCTGGCCCAAGATTTGAAGAAACCAACAAGTGAACCACGATGAACCAAGATTAAAAGGCCCCCATGACAAACGATACTCTCTCTCCGACGCATGACAAAATTCACTACACTTTTGGCGCATGCGCAGATTCAAGCGATTTTCAAGAAGTTCTGCGTCGACGTGCCTGACAGGCAGCTGCTAAATGAGAGAAATGAGAAAACCTCAGTGTTCATCCTGCATTACCTTCTCTGAATTGGTGCATCCTCAGTCTTCGTGCTTTTCATATCTTTTCATGGCTCACTCTAAGTCTCGGAATAAGTAGATGTTTCATGATGTTTGTAGAAGTCTTTAGTGTTTCCTACCAGTTCGTGCACAGCTGTGTGTCAGTTCCGTTGTCAATAGAATTTCGATACAGTTTCGACGCAGCATCCCTCCTTCTTGCCGCTCTAACAGTTCGTCTTCCTCTTCAGTTTGAGCACCGACCTCAACGTGAGATGGCACAATTGGTCGAAGAAGGTCATGGCAAAGCATGGCAAACACGGCAAAACACAGATCAGGTTTAAGTTCATTGCTGATCATTGCTGCATATTGCCACATGTGACACCTGCAAGAACGACAAAGAGTCACACCACTTCTCCATTCTTGGCGTTCTTGGTCTGAACCTCTGCAAACCAGCCCGGCAAACCACGGAAAGCATCCAAATATAGTAAAATATCCCGGGTAGCAAATTACCACGGTTCATCTGTCAAATAATACAGGTAGGTGCAAAAAATATTCAAATATACGGTCAAGCAAATCCCGATACCAACATGATGAATGCATTTGTTTTCCTGTGAGGTTCTCAAACTAGAGAAGGAATCCAGATCCAAAAGACACCAACAAAACATGACCATACATTAACCAAGCATCAACGTTAAACCAGTGAAACAGCGCCAACACAACAAAACTTCAAAAAGAGATGGAGCATGCTGAGCATGCCCTATAATTACATCCCTTTATGTAAATGTAACTTGCACTTTGGCTTGCCGGTTGCTAGAAGACGCGGAAGAATTTGCATAAACTCTTCAACCATTCTGGCAAGTAGAAAACGCGCAGGAAAAATCACGTTTTCCCTGGAAAACGCAAAATCGTTTTGGCATGTTTTGGTTGTTTTTGATTTTTTTCGGGATGAGATTTGCACAGGCGACGCAAGCCGCCTTTTCCTTATCTAGGCGCTCTGCCGGTCAGGACAGGAAAAACGCTGGAGATGTCATGGGCCACAAGTGTCCAGGAATGTTTGATATTGCGTATTGATGTGTTTTCTGTTTGCACGTGCAGATGCAACACACCATTGAAATATCGACCCATATTCATATTATGAGAGCTCACAACATGCCTTGCCACCACAGACAAGACACCCACCAACAAGAGACCACCCGTACACCGCCCGTACACCACCCGTGCTCCAGTACTACTTTGTACTACAAAGCTTGCACAAAAGTACTTCCCAGTACTACTTTGTACTGCAAAGCTTGCACAAAGTATTTCCCAGTACTACTTTGTACTACGAAGCTTGCACAAAGTACTTCCCAGTACTACTTTGTACTACAAAGCTTGCACTGCTTGCACAAACTACTTCCCAGTACTACTGTGTACTACAAAGCTTGCGCAAACTACTTCCCAGTTCTACTTTGTACTATAAAGTTTGCGCAAGGTATTTCCCAGTACTACTGTGTACTACAAAGCTTGCAAAAAGTACTTCCCAATACTACTTTGTACTACAAAGCTTGCACAAAGCACTTCCCAGTACTACTTTGTGCTACAAAGTTTGCACAAACTACTTCCCTTGTACTACGAAGCTTGCGCAAAGCACTTCCCAGTACTACTTTGTACTACAAAGCTTGCACAAAACACATTCCAGTACTACTTTGTACTACAAAGCTGCACAAAGTATTTCCCAGTACTACTTTGTGATACAAAGTTGGCACAAAGAAAGCTTTTACACACAGCAAGTTCTTTCGCAGAGAAGCATTTACACACAGCAAACTTTTTAAACAAGCTTGCACAAAGAAAACTTTTACACACAGCAAGTTCTTTCGCAGAGAAGTTTTTACACACAGCAATAGCAAGCTTTTTAAACAGAGAAGCTTTTACACACAGAAGCTTTTACACACAACAAGCTTGTACACAGAGAAGCCTTTATACACAGCAAGCTTTCACACACAGCAAGCGTTTACACACAGAACACTTACACACAGTGCTTTTACACATGGCAAGCGTTTACACACACAGCAAGTTTTTTAAACAGAGAAACTTTTACAGACAGAGAAGCTTTTACACACAACAAGCTTTTACACAGAGAAGTTTTTACACACAGCAAGCTTTCACACACAGCAAGCTTTTACAGAACACTTACACACAGTGCTTTTAAACATGGCAAGCGTTTACACACACAGAAACTTTTACACAGAGACGCTTTTACACACAGAGAAGCTCAGCAAACTTTTACACACAAAATCTTTTACGCACAGCAAGCTTTCACACACAGCAAGCGTTTACACAGAGAACACTTACACACAGTGCTTTTACACGTGGCAAGCCTTTACACACACAGCAAGCTTTTTAAACAGAGGAGCTTTTACAGACGGAGAAGCTTTTACACACAACAAGCTTTTACACAGAGAAGCTTTTACACACAGCAAGCTTTCACACACAGCAAGCTTTTACAGAACACTTACGCACAGTGCTTTTAAACATGGCAAGCGTTTACACACACAGAAACTTTTACACAGAGACGCCTTTACACACAGAGAAGCTTTTACACACAGCAAGCTTTTACACACAAAATCTTTTACACACAGCACGCTTTTACAGAAAAAAGTTCTTACACTCTTACACAGAGAAGCTTTCTCGTACATAATCACAACAGGGAATTGCAGCTCCAAAACCGGATCTCGACGCCAAAGCGAACAAAAGACGATTTTGAAGCACTTTTTAAAAGAACTTTTAAAAGGAAAATTGCTAGCGCCAAAATTGAGAAAATCTGCTGACAAATCACTGTCGCAGCTTTGATGCAGCCACTCCAATACTATTTGCGAGATCCAGCTGCAAAAAACAATGGTATTACGCATGCTGCCGCGGCACCAAGCAACCTTGACGCAGCCACTCTACAATGCTATCTGCAGAGACCGAGTTGCAAAACACAAAAGAACTACGCGCAACGGCGTCGGCAATTGCAGCTCCAAAACCGGATATCTCGACGCCACAACGAAAAAAAGACGATTTTGAAGCTCTTTTTAAAAGAACTTTTAAAAGGAAAATTGCTAGCGCCAAAATTGAGAAATCTGCTGACAAATCACTGTCGCAACTTTGACGCAGCCACTTGTTGCAGAACACAGAGGAGGACAGCCGCACCCACCGCACACAGGAGGTACCTTTCATCGCCGCCTGCAGCCACTTTACACGGAAAAACACAAGGTTTCGTGCTCCATCTTCCTCCCCAAAACAAAGCCCATGCAACATTCCTGCAGCCATTACAATGCGTTTCGCAGCATCACTTCCCTTCGTCACCACTTCCCTTCGTCACCACACTCCCTTCGTCATCACTTCCCAAAGTCACCACTTCCCTTCGTCACCACTTCCCGTCCTCACCACTTCCCTTCATAGCCTTCATTCTTTTGTGATGTATTGTTACAGGTAAAAGTCATCCGTAACTTGGAAGATTGCTTCCCAACTTCCTTTGATAAATAATGTTCTATGATCTAGAATGTGTCTAGTCTATATATATATATACATATATGATGTGTGTGATGTATAAATATAATATATATATATATATATATGTTTATAATAGTTGCAGAAAGGTTTCAGATGTGTCATTATGTGTCATTATGTCCTGATATTGCTATAGGCTATATAGTGCTATCAGTTCCATGTCCTATCCGTGAACTGACCCGTGGCCCACGTGGCTCTCAAACGGGCCTTGTCGTCACTTTCCCCTGCAGGCCGGCACCTCAACAAGGCCGAATGAATTCCACTGATTTCAAAAAGTGAAGCAAGGTACAAGGTGAACAGCACATGATAGGCTATGATTTAGCTTTGATTTAGCTTTGATTTAGCTATGATAATCTGATAATATATGATGACATATGATTAAAAATTACTTTGCTTCGTGTGATCCCCACCATGACATTGATACATTTTGTTACTGGCAAATCTTCTGGCATTCTATCTGACATTTTATCTGGCATTCTATCTGGCATACCTTCTGGCATTCTATCTGGCATATCTTCTGGCATTCTACCTGGCATATCTTCTGGCATATCTTCTGACATTCTATCTGGCATTCTATCTGGCAAATCTTCTGGCATATGTGCTGGCATCCTATCTGGCAAACATTCTGGCACTTTATCTGGCATACCTTCTGACATTCTATCTGGCATATCTTCTGACATTTTTTCTGGCATTCTATCTGGCATATCTTCTGACATTCTATCTGACATATCTTCTGACATTCTTTCTGGCATTCTTTCTGGCAAATCTTCTGGCATATCTTCTGACATTCTTTCTGACATTCTTTCTGCCATTCTTTCTGGCATTCTATCTGACATATCTTCTGACATTCTATCTGACATATCTTCTGACATTCTTTCTGGCATTCTATCTGACATATCGTCTGACATTCTATCTGACATATCTTCTGACATTCTTTCTGACATTCTTTCTGGCATTCTATCTGACATCTTTTCTGACATTCTTCCCGTTGAGGTCCGGCAGTGCCCACTGCGATCTGGAAGTCGCGGTTGAGGTCCGGCAGTGCCCACTGCGACCTGGAAGTCGCGGTTGAGGTCCGGCAGTGCTCACTGCGATCTGCAACTTGTGGTTGAGGTCCGGCAGTGCCCACTGGGATCTGGAGCTCGCGGTGGAGGTCCGGCTGTGCCCACTGGGATCTGGACTGCGAGGAGGAGGCGGCGGGTGAGGAGGCGGAGGAGGCGGAGGAGGAGAAGAGCTCTGTTAAAATCTAGCAACCCTCACCTGGCAGGTGGGGAACAACTGTAAAATTGACTTGAGAGCAGGCGGAGGCGGACGAAAGGTAGTGTAGTGGGAGAGGAGTGGTGTCAAAATGCTGCGCCCCTAAGATGATACACCAAAAACGTTTTTGCGCAGTCTAAGATGATTTTATCCAGAGCATGACTGCATGACACTGTGTCTTGTGCTGCGTGAAATGATGCACGAAAAGGGGTTTATTTAAAACCCCTTTTTAAGACCCCTTGCAGCAACTGTTATTGAGGCTGAAGCATACCAATTATGCTGGACTACAGGGACATCTCCCTCATGGAAAGTGTGCCTCTAATGTGGGGGCCCGTGACCGCGTCACCCGTGGGAATTGAACCCATGACCATTTTCGGGGGGGGGGGGCCCTTATAATTGATATCCAATACATAACGGCGAGAATTCCATGAATTGCACGGGCTGGCCCCCCAATACCCCCTAAGCTTGTGCTGAAGCACGGAGAACTCAGGTAGCTGACGCTACCTTTCGTGATAACTATATCTTTAAAAATCCGCCCGCACCGAAGGTGCTGGGGCGTGATCTTCCGGATGGCACTCGTAAAAGGTTACAGGTTTACCTGGGGGGGGGGGGGTCCCATTTTTCGGCCAAAACCTCCTGTTTTTGATAGGTCGTGACGCTCGCCTTCAAAAAACACTGTAAAAAACAGTACGGAAGACACCTGTTCGTGAACGCGCCCGTCCAAAATCGGCAAGCGAAAAGTGAAAAAAACACCGTGTTTTTCAACTTTTCGACCTCAATTTTTTGGTTTGCAACATCTTTTTTTGCGGTTCCGCAGGTGGCCTGGCCCGGAGGCGGATTTTTGAGTTTTTGGACCCGTTTTCGGACTGATTTTCGTCGTTTTGTGATAGCAGAAACACTGGTTTTTACAGTGTTTTTCTGTTTTCTGCATGCTTGACGGCTAGCTTCAAAACTTCCAAAAACCTCGTAAATTACGCTGTTTTATGTTACGGTGTGAATGAAAACATCGTAAATACCAGTGTTTTTTGACGTTGGTTAAAAAAAACACTGTAAATTACAGTGTTTTTGGCCACCTGACCCTCAAAAACCATGGTATTTGCAGTGGTTTCTGCTTCTCACCGCGCAAAAACACTGTAAATAACAGCAATTTCGCCGTTTTTTCATGTTTGTCGATTTTTTGAACTGCGTTGGCCCGCTATACATGGCTATCAAATTCTTCGCGCGCCAAACGATGCGGTGCGGGCGGTTGCCGTCGCGAAGCGACGTGAATATTGCAATAGATTGTAATCATATATTATATGGTAATGCCGATTAATGTCAAATGTTTCAACAACTATTCAAATGTCATGTCATGTCTCTTGTCATGTCTCTTCTCACATTGAGGCCCAACTTTCTCAAACATCTCAGCACATCTCAGCACATCTCAGCACATCTCAGCACTATACGCGGCCGCAACGATGCTGATAAAGCCCGTTGCCAGGCAAGCCTGGCAGGCTCAAAGTGCTCAAATCCAAGGAATAGCTTCGAACAGCTTCGAACAGCTTGGACTCAGTTGGACAGCTCTGTCATGCTTCCAACGCCATTCAAAAGCCTTCCAAAGTCCAACGTGGTCCGAACTTGTCTTAATTGCTCTGCTGAGCTCTGCTGAGCTCTGCTGAGCTCTGTCATGCTCTGTCATGCTCTGTCAAACCTGTCGGTGAAGTCTCCCATGGCAATGCTTCTGGGGACAGCTGAGTCATGCTAAGGCGATCGCCCCACTGGCGAGCCCAGCCCATAGCAAACCGATGTTGAACTTCTTCGCCTGGGAACTGGCTGCATCGCATATTTTTTCAACATATTGATACATATTGCACATATTGCATCATATTGCAACATCTTGTCCAAAGAGTCTAGAACTGTCTAGCACCTAAACCTCTCGGCACGCTCTCATAGCATCCAGGACCCGGGAAAAAAAAGGCAAAAGATTGTAGACTTCATCGAAATCACCCCTCAATTTCTGTGTACCTAGTAGCTGAAGGTAGGAGCCGAAGGTGGTTGAGAACGGTCAAAAGGTGGAAAAAAATGGTCCAGTCTTCTCCTTGTCCCACACCTTGAAGCGCTTTGCCGGTGGTTGGATGCCTTGGTCACTGTGAGCATCGGTGAGCTCTGATGACATGTGTGCTTTGCAATGCTTTGCTGCGATACATCGAATATCTCGAACACATCTGCAATGAAGAATTCATCATAATTCAGAATTGCGATATATATATATATATATCATCATGGGCAACCTTTTACTTGGCTTTGCATTGGAGTGTATGACCCTCCTCGCCATATATGCTGGCATGGGCGTCCTTGAGCACCCGAAGGACCCGGAGATCGACTTCATGGTCTCTATTTGGCGACTTCCGATTGTGCAGTTGATCTTGTTGCTGCCCAACACACGGATGATCACCATGGCCCAAGGACTACTGGGAGCGCCCAGTCCGAAACCAACTTCCTTGCTGGTTGTGGGACTATTTGGACTTGAAGATGATCTGCGTGGCCACCGCCTTACACCTGATCTTCCACAAGGCCAATCAGTGGGTCGTGGTGCCGACGGCGGCTTCCTGACTGCTCCGCTTAAGGAATATCCTCCTGCTATGTGCAAAGCACTAGCACAGGCGTTTTTTCGTGGTATGTGTGAACCTTGTGATGGGGCACCATCCACGGCGCCAATGGAGTTCTTGCAGCTGGTGAGACGCATGCAAGACTCAGAATTCGGCCATTTTATTGGCCACGATGGCTAGGCTATGACCCTATGCCCCGAATGCATGAGACAGGCCGCTGCGTGAACGCAACTGTGTGCCCCTGCAAAATATATATATATATATAAATCAAAATATAATATAATATAGTATAAGATAATATAATATAATAAACAATATATACTATAATTATAATATATATATATATATTGCAATGTTCGAGTTTGCTGTGGCGTCTCATGGCGTCTCATGTTTAACACCACTGGGCGTCCTCCAAGACCGTGACTGGGCGCAGAGGTGAACGGAGTGGAAAGATCTTCCATCTGCCAAATTCGAAAGACTTTGAACATCTTTGGACATCTTTGGGCTATTTCAGCGCAGACATACATGGAATTACATGGGACACCCCAAAGACATCCTAAAATGCAAAAATCGTGATATTTTCATGTCAGCTCATTGTCATGTTTTGAAATGTGTCCTGCATGCATTCCTCCGAGCTGATCATGGCTGGCATAGCTGACCCTATTTCAAAATCTTCAATTTCAAACGAAAACAAACAATTTGACCTTGTGCGACTCGTATGACTCAAGATCTGTTGTCCCCCAAGGCAGCGTGCCGAAGGATCATGCTCTGGTCGAGTGCTGTATTCAGGGCATTCTGCCGGAACCACACCTGCAACGCACACACACACATACACTTGAGTCGCACACACTGACGCAAAAGAATACAAAGAAGATCAAAGAAGATAAGAAACACTGGAACTGCTTGGGAGACACTGCGACCCTGCGGCTGCCTACCATTTGCTGAGGCATGTCAAAGATAACGTCCTGGCTGCACCGCGCTGGCCATGATGTGCAGTGGTATGCCGTTGGCTTGCCGTGGCATGCCGTATTGAGGTGAAACAATGTGAAACGACGTGAAATAATGTGAAACATCGGAATGATGGTGTACGCAGCAAGTAGCAGAACGTAGCAGTGCAGATTGTATCCTGGTGCATCATCCAGCTTGCCCCCAGCACTGTGCTGGCTCCAGGGCCATCATCCTGGCACATCCCATGAAGCCTACTATGAAGCCTACTATGAAGCCTCATGATAGACTGCTGGGGACTCTCGCATGGTCGGTCTCCGACAAGCGTGGTCAAATGATAGAAGTCCACCTGCGCTATACATCGCTACATATTCTCTCATCATAAAATCAAAAAAAAAAAACATATAAAGACATATAAAGACCTGAATGCGGCACACTCTACAAATCACCACAATGCCGTATCATAGATTCCTGCTGCCAAGTGTTGATTGACCAGGCCCAATGTCCTGAAAGGAGTAGCACCAGCGTTGGGAGCCTTTGCCCTTGTGGAGATACGCGCGAGGGACCCAGTTCACCTTCACACCCTCGAAGTTCATCTGCAGTTGGCGTTTCTGAAAATTCAGCAAGGAAGACAGTTCTGCCCACACACTGAACACGTTGAAAGCAGGCATGTATCAAATATGAAACGCGCATGGCATAAATTGGCCCAGCTTTGCAACCCGACAGCAAAAGGTCTCAGCAAGGTTCCAGGACTGTTCCGGTTTTGCGGGGCGCGCATTAGTCCCCGGCCCTGGAGATTTAAACCCAACAGATTCGCTGTTGGAAAAAAATGTATAGATATATATATATATACATATATATATACATATATATATATACATATATACATATATATATATACATATATACATATATATATATATACATATATATATATACATATATATATATACATATATATATATATATGTGTGTGTGTGTGTGGGCAGGTAGGTGTGCATTTATAAATATATGCATAATATTATATATATATATATATTATCTGTGTGTCCGTGTTTAAACATATGATCACATCTGATTATGTATCCGGCATATATACATAATTATGCCATAATTATGTATGCAGTAAGCACCTGTTTAGAGGTTAGATATGGTTAGATGTCTGCAAATGTATGTTGCCACTCCACTTGCTGTTGCAAGACTGAAAGGCCTCCATGTCTGGGAAGCCCTTGAGGTCCGACACATGCCAACAGGATCCTCCCATCACCGTCTCGCACATATCGCTCCCTCTGGCTCTTGTTAATTCACTGAGTTCATTCTGCCATGACTCTTCCTTGGCTCTGGTGATCATGCTGAAGTCTCAAGATGTCGCAAGATTTTCAAAGTCAGCATAAGCCAGCTTAATTTAGCAAATTTCCCCGCAGGCCCTCACTCTCAGCACTCCCACCTGATAGGCTCCCACAACTTTGGTGAGTGCCGCAAAAGTCCTGCACCGAAAGTGGAAGTTCGGGACAAAGATAAAAGATGATGAAAATATGGTAAAATGATGAAAATGAAGTGTATTGAAGTGCATTGAAGTGTCATCACTGATTACTGATGCTTACATATTCTTACTGCATGCATTTTGTGAATTGATACGAATTGTGCTGTGTGCTTTTGGGCCAGGCATCTGGTGCTGAGCTCTTGATCTTCCTGCTCTCAAGCGTCCTCGATTCCTTTCCGAATCGTCTGGTAGGGTCGTGAGCCAAAGTAAGTCCACCTCAGACCATGGTTTCAATCTGTTTCAATGCAGAACGATGCAGAACGTTTGAAAATGGCCAGGCCGCATCCCAGAGCATCTGCACAGTCTGCACATGCTTCAACCAAGTAGATAAACTAGGTGAAACATGGTGAAAGTGCAGCAACGACTTTCAATTGAGGCCCCGTGTCTTCCACAATGCTGTACTAAGAAGTTGTTAATTCAATGCGCGCACCATCTCCCAAGTCCTTCATCAAAATCTTTTGAGCTGAGATGTTGCACGTGGTGCCGCTATCTATGATGGTGTTGCGAAAGTCAGTGGCCTGAGCAAACAGTTTTTGATGTTTTTGCAATATGCCCAGTCTGCTTAGCAAGTTTCCTAACATTTCCCAGGGAACTGACTACATATTGCAACGGCTTGAAGCTCTAAGACCCACTGTCATTCTGTTCGTGTAGCTTCCACGGGCTCCCAAGGATGGATGGGGCCTCATTCCTGTAAAGGCACTCTCCTTGTGTTCAGGAAAATGCCATGGTTATGCCATGGTTATAGGTTGTCATATGTTGTTACTGTTATAGGTTCTTGGCAGATCCTGGCAGCTCCTGGTAGAGTCTGATCATTTCGCTCGTGTGCGCGTTTCAAGTGTGTTTAAGCACCTGGCGATACTTCCGGCAATTGACAGTTCAGTCAACTGGACCTACAAAAAGCACTTGGTCATAAATGAGTCATAAATGAGTCATAAAGCTGTAGAAGGGCGATGCTGGCAACTTTTCTGCTCTTTCATGCACTTTCGGTCTGGGGCATCTGCGTTGAAGAAACCACCGGAGAGTCTCATCTTGAGGTGCTTCACCTGAACTTCCGGATACGTCAGATACGTCTGGGCATTGTGAAAAGAAGAGGGCAAGTCAAAAGTGCTTCAAAAGTGGCCGGTTTGTTCGCTGGGTTTCCCACCTCTCCCCTGTGGTAGGACCTTGTGTGCCAGTGTGACTGCATGTGATTGCAAGGTGTGAGTGATACAGCATGATACAGCAACAGCGTATATGGTGTGATGTCTCACATGATGCATCTTAATTCGCGCTATTGAACACATTGACATGAGACATTTTGGGAAATGCCAATCGCTAGGAAAATCCAGAACATGTTGAGAACATTAAGCATTTGGGTGTGGGACACATCTCTTTCATCTCTCTTGTGTCCAAAAAAGATGAACAATAAAACATAATAAAACATAAAAAAATATAATATATATACAATAAAACATAATAAAACAATGGCTAAAACAAGAAATCATAAGACATCACGTTGGAAAACACAGTGAGATCCGTGAGATTCCAACGTGTTTGGCCCACCAACGGCGAGGTGACCTCCAGACTCTGCGATGCACATTGAGAAGACCTCAGTGCAGATGCAACGAGTCGTTGAATATCGTTGAAAGGCGAAACATGGAGCGGCGGATAGATTCGGATAGATACTCTCACACTCTCGCACCAAACATCGAGATGACTCTAAGATTACCAAAAATGACTCAAAAATGATCAAAAATGGCTCAAGTCTCAACATGCATTGAATTCATCCGACGTCTACCAAAGCACTGGCAAAGTGTGATCTGCTATGGTCTTCTATGGTCTGCTGATCTTGGCTTTCCTGCATCTGCATTGATATGCTCTCGGTCTCTCAGTAGCTGCTGCAACAATGTAGGATCTCCCGTCGGTGGCTGCCTGAAAAGAAAGCTTGGTGGGTCCGGACTGTCCCAGTGTGCCATCCAGCGTGCCATCCAGCGTGCCATCCGGTGCCTGTATTCATATCTGTTTAACTGTTTGCGCAGAGAGCGAGCAAACGTGCATCATTTTGATTTTCGAAAAAGCAGTCACTTGCAGCCACTTGCAGCCACTTGCGGCTGCTTGGGCAAGTGGCTGCAAGTGGCTGCAAGTGGCTGCAAGTGGCTGCAAGTGGCTGCAAGTGGCTGCAAGTGGCTGCTTGGGCAAGCGGCTGCTTGGGCAAGCGGCTGCTTGGGCAAGCGGCTGCTTGGGCAAGCGGCTGCTTGGGCAAGCGGCTGCTTGGGCAAGTGTCTGCTTGGTCAAGTGGCTGCAAGTGGCTGCAGCTGATTGTAGCCATCTGCAGCGACTCGTAGCCACTTGCCGCTACGTGCCATCTTGAAAAAAAAAATGATTTTGCAGACTTTACTTTTTTTTCAAGATTGTCTGTAGTAGATTGCTAGCAGCCATGCACCAGCAGCTACCTGCAAGGATTGAAACATAAAAGCTGTTTCGGAGAAAAAAACAAAGGGCCAGATTGTTTGTATTTGTGGGCCAGCGCTCACCTGCAGCCAGCGAACTTACGAGTACCTGTCTAGTAAATTGTGTGGGTTGTTTAATACATATAGCGCGTAAAATGTTCCACCCGTGCCTTTGACACCTGCACACATATCGAAGGCAAATTAAGAAAACCAATTGGACTTCAAGCCAGGTGATGTGTCTGACATCTAAGTAGATCTCAATGACTAAGCCAAACTCAAACCATTCAAATTAAATGGATAAAGTATGATAAAGTATGATAAATTGGGAATATTGGGGGATCCAATGAGCTGTCTTTAATACGTCAACAGGGATTGCATGCTGCTTGGTATTGCTTCGTCCACGGGCCTGAAATTGTGAGGTAAGTATCATCTATAACATTCCGAACATTCTTCTCTACCTTTCTGGGGCCCCTATACTGCAACGCATCTTAAACCATTAACACACATAACACACCACACCGGCAGCTTTGTCTGAGTCATTGAGCGTGGATGGTTTGCGGGCTGGCATATTCAGCATGTGTATTTACACGCCTCGCGGCGTCTACCCTGTGTCTCGTCCTACCTCCATTTGGTATTTACAGAAGGGAATGCACAAAACCAGGACCCAAAAGCTTGTGCACAGTGCAAATTCGTTCGGCCATCTCAATGCACACAAAATGCACACAAAATGCACACAAAATGCACACAAAATGCACACAAAGAGCACAAAATGCACACCAAAGGAGAACTATGAGAACTCTGGCATGTGTACATCATGTGAACATATTTGTACCACCAAAAAAATGTGTCTGTGTATAAAGTGACACTTGTTTAGCTATCTCCAGTAAAAAAGCCATTCCATGCAATTCCTACATGCAATTCATATGCATTCAGTCAGTCCACAATGAAGCTCCAGTGCAGCGCCTGATTCCCATGATGCCGTTCGCTTTCTGTGTGTAGAACAGCCGGGTTTCCTCCTGGCACCGAACATGTCATGGACGTAACATCCAGGAAAGCAACTTGGAATATGGACCAAAGTGGACCCTGACAACCCAGAGGAGTCTGGTTATGTCTTCCTGGTGACAACCCAGAGCTGCGCGCATCTGAGGATTGTGTTGGAAGAGGTCGCCAAGACTAAGCGCATGGTGGCCAATTTCAGCAAAACAAAGCAATATATATAGCAATATAACATACTGTAAACATACTGCAATATAACTATGGTCCTGTACACCCATGACGTAACATTTTCTTAACTATGTACAGTAACTCATACAACTGCACCATATTCATCCATATTCTACTTTCAAACAGGCTCCAAAGCTCCGATGCTTTAAGCGTTACACGACTCCACCGGAACTCCAACGGAACCACAACGTCAACCGATCGCAACGTCTGAGGTGCTGGCCGCACCACATCCTGGCACGAGCTGTGATCCGATGCTGCCTCCCTTCACTCCCCACATATTTCATCAAATGTCCGAATAGAAATATATATATAATATATATAATATATATATAATTAATAATTACATATATATAATATATAATATATATAATTATTTAGATGCACAGTCACATAATGTTACATACATAATGTAAAAATGTGTAAAAGTTTCTTTAATATTGTGTCCATTTTCCCTAACTGTCTACCGTCTACCTCTGGCCCCCTGCTAGGCACAAAAAGGCTTGAACGGAAGAGACACAGACACATGCCGAGATGTGACTGGAGAACAAATATACAACTTGAAGCACATCCTTATATATCTGTATATCTGATAAAGATATATAGAAGCATAATTCAACTATCAACTCACCATTGGCTGGAACATAGGCATCAACCTGCACGTGCAGATGGTGCCTCAAACCACCAGCCACCGATGGAGCTTCCCTCCGTGTAGCCCTGGTGGTAAGTGCAGTGGTTGCTTTTACCTTGGCTTCAGAAAGGACAAAGCAAAGCTGTGCGAAGCAAACATCTATTTTCGAAGGGTATCTGAATCCATTTGTCTTGGATGAGGTATGGTTCGTCAACTACACTTCGGAAATGATGGTTCGGGAACTATGCCTAGAATGCCTATAGAAACGATGGTTCGGAAACTTAAAGTATGGTTCGGGAACTATGGAGATTTGGTTCGAAACTAAAGCGAATCTGCTTCTGAAACCATGGGGGGCATGGTTCTGCAAACACACAAAATCATGTTGAATTCTGATTGTCAAGTTTGGTGGTAGTTGCAAATCTATACAAATCTATGATCTAGTTATCGAAAAAACATATGGCAAATCTTGCACCGCCCTCAATTCATCTCAAGCTCGTGTCTTAATGGTTGGGTGTGGAAGTGCGGGGTGTAAATTCTAAAATCGATTCAACATATATAAACCATACATTCAACGTACCTGTCTATGGGGGGAGGGGGCCGTAGATTTAAAAATAACAACCTTGTCCAAATATTGAACGTACAAGTATAGTGGCGTGGGGGAGAGGGGGGATATGTTTGTAGTGACTCCACATGTAGACTTTAGACTGTGTCCATCCATACATTGAACACATCGTTATGTAGGGGCGAGGGCGCGGTAGATCTCAAAATGACTCAACATGTAGACCGTGTCCATGCAATCAACATGTGGTGGAGTGGGGAATTAGTGACGAGAAGGGGTGGTTAATTTGTGAAAGGACTTTACATGATTTTACATGTACATTGCTTCAAATGGTTTTCACACTTTCAAGGTTCTTCTGCACATGCAATATTTATATAGCTGCCAGTGGCTTGGCTGTAGTTTCTGCACCAAAGCGGTTGTAGAACCGCTTGGGGTTGTTGAGACATGCTAAGACGTAGCTTTATATAGCTTTGGTATGCTTTGGTTGCTGAACCGGTTTTAGTTGCTGAACTGGACCGGAGTGTATTCGCAAGAAGTGTCTGAGTTCCTGCTGAGTTTCTGGCAAGAACTTGCCTTACAGTCTTGACCTGGCTGTTTGGACCGTGTGGAAGCTGCGTATCGTATAGTATAATTGATAGCTGCGTAGCGATAGATCCTAAAAAACGAGAAACGACGTGAAACGACCTGAAACAGCTTAGCCAAGACATGAGCCAAATTTTGCGACACAGGATGACACAGGTATATGAAACATAGTAAAACTTGCCAGGTTCACCACACTGGTGCCAACGGGCTGTGCTACTCTTGGTAATGTCATACAGCGGATCAATGTGGCTTCCACAGCCCCTGTGAAAATGGCCATGACATTCAAGATCATTCAAGCACAAACACCGCAAACACGGAATGTGCCAAACAATGCCAAACAGCTCCAAACAGCTCAGGGTTCCTGCACGTTTGGCACGGGAAGGCTGTAATACTGCTGCCAGTATCCACCTGAAGGGCAAGAACTGACATTGGCTCACTAGCTTGGATATAGTATGATATAGTTTGGATGTTTTGATATTTTTGATTAGGCTGAGTAACAAAGCAACTTTTGCGACAAGTCACGATGACAGAAACTCTTTGCGGAGGAGTGCCCACGCTGAGGTCCAAGAAATAGTAGGCATAATCATACACATTCCTGGAAGATGTGCGGCACAAAGGCAAGCCATCAGCCAATATGAACTCGATATGAACTCATGTAACATGTACGTTTATGCAAGCAACATCTCATCCTCATCAGAATCGCTGGATCGCCAGCTCCACCTTTTCCCTCTGACTATTTTCTTAGTCCGGCATACTTCTTGAAGATCCGTGAGTTTGCAGCGTCCCGGGCGTTGTGAATTTGTGGAAGTGTTGACTTTTACATACTTTTACTTTTTTTTACGAATCATGTTCAAAGCTTGTAGCCCCATCGGACCCCTTGTGGACCCCTTTTGCACAATACAAGTACTAGAAGAATCCAGAAGAATCCAGAAGCTGCGACGTGCAAAGCAGTCCCGTAGAGACGAGCTGATGCAATGCGCTGTATCCTTGGCAGGACAGCTACCATCAGCTACCCCAGATTCATTCAGATCCGTTTAGATCCATTCAGCCAAGGACATCACATCGTGCATCGAATCATCGTGCATAAAGGTGCACAAACGATAAACACGTTGACCAGAAGAAAGCTTTATGTCATTGTATGTCATTACTGCAGCTTGTCACTGACATGCCACAAGTGCAAAGTTCTGCCAAGGCTCGCATCATATGCACTCTGGCATGGGAACACAAGGAGTACCAGAAGAAGCCTTCAGGACTGTTCCGAAGAACAGTTTGTATCCAAGAAGTACATGAACATCATGAACCCTGAAAAGTAAAACTTCGACAATGTTCATCTTACGTTGGGCTTGGCTGACGGAGACTTGGACCGGAAATGTTTGAACATGAGGTGCTTTCCATCGATCTGTGCCGTTGCTGACAGCGTCTGGTGCCTTGAGCTTCTCATTAGGAATAGACCATCACATGATGCCAGCCGCCCATCTGCATGGCGTCTTGATCCGTATTGATGACTGTCTAAGCTTGCTTGCATCAGATGTGTTGGCCTTGTGCCGGCCAAGAATGGTTTGAACTGTCAGTTCATAGTCATGGCATGATATGGCATGTCATGGCCGATGATAAAAGCAAGGCCAACGTTGCAGGTTCTTGTTCACCGCCAACGCCATTAGCTGAGCATTGCTTAAATCAAAAGCACAAAAGGATACAACAGCAACTTCTGGCATTGAATCAACGAATGATCTTCCAATTTCAGCTGCATCATTTAGGATATATAGGGCTCAAGCCACAGACTGCAGAGCTTCCTGCTTCCGGTGGCTGAAACATCAGGCCCTATACAAACACAAAGACTAAAACGAACATATCGAACATTTAAAACCTTGGCAAGAACACTTCAGAAAACAACTTGACAACATGATTGATTCCAAATTCAACATGATGCAAGGTCAGGCAGGTTCAAGCAGATTCAAGCAGGTTCAAGCAGGTTAAGCAGATTCAAGCCAACAAGTCGCGCCATTGCAACATTTTCTACGCTCAATCCTCATGACGTGACGGACACTTGTGGAACACGGGGGAAACATGTGACACTCTGGAAACATCTGGAAACATCTGGAAACTGCACCCGGTTTTCCAGCGGGTCACATATCGTCACACTATCGTCACACCGAGTCGTCACCACATCACCGAGTCGTCGAGTCGTCGAGTCGTCACTCACTCCATTCCTTGGAGCCAATCACAGGCAGATTGAGGCTGCACCTGGCACCGGACCAAGATGACGAAGGGCCAAAGATGGCCAAAGGGCCCAATGTTTTTTCGATTTCCAAGATATTCCAAGATATTCCAAGTTGCCGCATCAATATCACAGAAATTCAATTAAAAAGTTGTCATAAGTCATACTTAACACAACTCACTTCCACTATCTTCCACTTCTATTATCTTAGAGTTTTATCATGTCGAATCAAGGGCTAGCCGGATCCACTGCAATGTCAGTGACACTCCACCAACATCCACAGCCACCTGCAAGACACAAGGCAAGAAGGTGTTGCACTGTGTACGAAGGCATTGAAACGCCTCTTCCCAGGCGATACGGGCACATCAAATGATCACCAAGCATTGTGCAATATTGTGCACATCTGGCAAAACCAAACTAGTCTGACAAAAGCCAAAACATCAAAACACTGAAACTCGTCAAACTGCGCCAAAGAGTTGCACGAAATGCACGACACAACGCGATGTTTTTGTGTGCTTCCATGCCTTGGTGCTGGCCATGAAACCGCTGCTCCCAGTGGAGAATTGCTTCGGTTCAGCCTGCGCACATCGCACATCGCACTGCTCTCACTAAGCTTGTCATACTAATATGTTTTTACATGCTTTCCTTACATGTAAGAAAACATCTAAATAATTCTCGCCAAGTCCTCACTAGGTCTCACCTGTAGATAGCTCTCTCCCTCTCTCTGTCTCCATCGCGCGCTCCATCGTTCGTGTTCATCTATGCTCATAGATGTTCATAGGTTTTCCGTTTTGAGGTGCATGGGTAATTCCTCTTGGGCGAACCCAGTGGGAACCATAGACACAAAATGACACATAGAAGCGACAGAGACATGCAGGACTATAAGAACTGACTGAAGGTGCGTAGCAATTTTGCCGCACTGGCCATTTGCACGGAATTCTTTTGGAAGAGGCAAGCAACGTGGAATTGACAAGGAACCGTGTTTGTCTGATGGTTTTGAAACTTTGCGAGAAGGAGGCTGTCTGGGCGTACAATGTCGTTGAGTCCAGGTATGTCCAGGTTGTGTTATCATGTCTTGTCTACAAATCCCCTTGCGATATCTTACAGTAACGATTTTCAAGGGTCTTTGGAAGTCCGCTTTTCGCCTTCGAACGGGCATTGGTATTGATCTTGCCTTTATCATCTTTGCACAATCTTTATATGTCTTTATATTACATTGGAGCGGAATTGTGATGGAATTTGAGACCTACGGCAGTAGTACGCGCTTTTCAGTACCATGAATTTAAAGTCCTAAAGGGATCTAAATATGTTGGAATGTAATACCACCGCAACGATTGTTTTCCAGGGGTGGGAGTTTAAGAGTTTAAGGACCTAGTACGCCCTAGCGAGGGACGAGTCCTCTATTCCAACTCTTTCTTAATACATTGACAGTCATTGACAGTTCTCTTGGACTTGAGGCCTTGAGCTTCTTGTCTCCAATTTGGACCTTGTCACAACGATTGTTGAAAGATTGTGTCATGTGTGTCATGGTCTCTCTCCGCTTCGGCCCTTCAAATCCCTTCAACGGCTTCCCGAGCTGAGCCCGAGCGACGGTGATCGCTTTGGCTTTCTTCATGAACTCCTGTATAATCTGTACACAATGGAGCACGCATGAGCACGCTATGGCACGATTCCACACCATGTCAGGCAGTGTCAGGTATGCGCGCGCTCCAACATTTTGTTTGATGTATCTACAATTCAGAAGTGCCCTGCGTCAAATCTCAGCAAGTCTCTATCCTTTCGCGTCATAGAAGAACTCTGGCCTAGGTGTGTCGAGCGCTTCAATTCACAGCTTAGCAGTTCTCCGTCCATGGCAGCATCCTTTGAATGGAAATTGCTCAGTTCAAGGCGCTCTTTTGTGCTAGGTCCTTTATCGCAATTGGCAAATCCATACGGCATCAAGGAATCATTGGATTGTTGGAACTTGTTGCGCAGCTTGGCTGAGCAACAGCTGTGAGCGACATGAGCGCTTTACGATCCGGAGAGTCGTACAGTCTGTAGAGTTTGACACTGACAACATGTGGCAACATGTGACAACAATGATGCGGCCAGCATGTCTGAACATCTCAGCAAAACCTGTCAGCGAACGCATCTAGGGAAAATTGCAAGACAAGTGTTGCTGACTGAGTCTTATGACATATCCAATGATATTGCAATGCATGACATGTTCGACTTCGATGGTGTCCTTTCGCTTTGCCTTTGCCATTTTTACCATCTTTGGCCTCTTTGGAACCTTTGGCATCTTTGCCTGTCGCAGACTAACACAGCTTCGCAAAACATAGCTTCCACGTGCCGAGTGGTGCTGGAGGTGGCATCTCATCTCACAGCTCCCACCTTCTCCACGGCCATCCTGCCATTACCATCCACCACCATCCAAATCCATTCATATACAATATACATGCATATGTATATAATAATATACAGTATACAATATAATATAGCATATGTATGTATAAATATATATGTATATATATATATTAATCAAATATTTCTCAACATATCTCGCTCATATCTTTCAACATTATCTCATGCTAACGCTTCTTAAACACAGCGTGTTTTCATGTAGTATTTTGTTTCCATGTTCCAATTCAACATCGTCTCCGTATATTTATCCCTTGACTACTGTCTCGAGGATAGCCAAACCACTTGAAAACACTGCCAGAGGATGCATCACGATACCAAAAGGGACCAATTAGATCTAATCAGACTAGACACCATACACAAAGTCAGCAGGGATTTGCCAAAGGAATGCTATGACTGATAACGACTGCATTTGGCAGTAGCTGGAAATGAGTTTGAGTTTGTCTCCCAGCTGGGAGAAGAAATGAGAAAATATATGAGAAACGTCATGCCATATCTATTTTGGAGTCAGGTGGTTTGGAGTTGTTTGATGTTGTTTGCGCGTTTTGTCTGTGGCACCACAGCGCCTGGGCTCGACGCTTCGGACGCTTTGGCTGCGGCTGCTCAGATTCTTCAGGCTCAGCTGCTTCAGCTGCTTCAGCTGCTTCCGCTGCTTCGGCTGCCTCAGCTTCAGACGCCTCACGAGATGGCCGGTTGCGGCAAGAGATTCATGACATGGCATCGGCTTGCTTTGCCTCACTGGAAGCACCAAGTCTTCAGATGGAAGAATGAAGCGTAGTGAAACTAAATTCGAAGCACTGGGGCTGCATGGCATTCTCACTCACTAAGACACCATTCAGACGATCGTAGATGAACCACATCAACTACAGATCAAGCATCTAAAATTATCAGAATGCACTTGGTGGAATAGAATGGGACAAATGCAGCGCCTGCGTTTCATCCCCTGCAGAGGCTGAAGGCGCTGGAAGGCCCTGGAGGTCAAAAGAATTTAAAGAAAAAGTGACTTTGGATGATTTTGGATGACTTTGGAATGCCCTGTGATCCTGTCATCGTGATCATTAAAATTGTGTGATGAATTTTCACACTTCATCAATTTTCATCAGATTCTTCATTGATCTTGATAGATCTTCGATGATCTTCGTGTCCATGCTGTGTCATGTTTGTCATGCTGTGTCATGTAACATTCGGTCGCCTGAAGTCTGACCACGTGAGCATGCACCAAGGATTTCACCGAATCCTTTTTGCTGTCCAGCTCTCCAGGACCTACAAAAATTCACAGAGTAAGCAAATGTGTAAGCAAATGTGTAAGCTTACTAAGTAAGCATACAAACATACACACCAAATAACACACAAGTGACGAACAAGCTGTGGAAGCGTTGGCTCCAAGTGCTTCCAAGTGCTCGGCTTAAATTGAGCCTTTTTTCAATTTCCTCTCGAACCTGGCAACAGAACTGTCTTCTCTGACATTCTTCGCACGTCCGAACTACAGAGTCATTACAGAGTCTAAGTATTCTAAGTGCCCTTTATGATCCTTTATGACCCTTTATGATCCTTTTATACATTCTTTATGCCCCTCCATGCCCCTCCTCTCTCAAAGATGTAGAGGCGAGATGTTTGTTCACCAAGACGGCGGAGATGTGTTCTTCAAGAACTTCATCCGTGATCGGTGCACCCAGCATTGCGCAGAGCTCGACGTAGTGATGCGTTGGAAGCGAAAATTTAGGTTGACCCAAATGCCACATGCCATGCGCATCTAACTGCACTCCTAGGTATATACATGATATATTTATTATCTATTAAATAATATATGTATATATACATGCATATATAATATACAATTATATATATATATACTGTATGCATGAGTGTGGATGTGTGTGTGTGTGTTTGTTATGTAATGTAGTTATAATATGTTATAATAAATTGTGTGCATGTGCATCTCTATCTACAATTATGCATATCATACAGATCCAAACTTGAAGGATGAAGAGCACATGCCGTGTCAGGCTGTCAGGCAAGTTCAGATGGATTCAGTTGGCAGGTCTTGCAGCCGGGCTATTTGTTGCTCCAGAGCTTGAACATCTCGTTTTCTCAGCAGAGCAACATATCCGAACTGCCACGTGGAATCAACATCTCCATTGTATGGTACGTACACCCAGTGCATGGAGATCGCTCAACGGACCTTTTGACGCAATCCAAACAGGGTTGCCGTCCCCTGAGCATTAGCCAAATCGCACGTCACTTCTGATGTGCTCGTGACATGCTGTGACGCGTGGCCACCATGTGTGGCCACCATGTGCCAACCTGAATTGTCATGGCAACTTTGTGCCAAGTCCCGAGTTTCCATGACTGGAACTGTCCCTCTTTGTGTGAAATACAATGAAATACATCTATAATTATAAGTGAACAAGTTTCATCAAATTTCGGTCTCTATGGTCTCTACTTCTGTCAGTTCAAATGTATTTAAATGATTTTAAATGTCAATTTGGAAACTGAAGCACCCGCGGTGACACTGGCGGGATTGGATTCCCCAACTGCTTCAATTGAGGCAAGTCAGGCTTTAAAGACAACGAGATCCCGGGGGGTGGAGGAAGTCCCCCCAGACCAAGCTGAAGTCTAGGCATAGAACCCGAGCTTACTGCGCTGACGGAACTCACAACACCTGGACCAGACGGGCCGGACGGGCCGGCAGGACAGGCAGGACAGGCACCGGTGGTTGATGGGTTCGAGACTCTCCTGATGCGGCCACACGCACCGCAGCCATGCGCTTGACACGGCAATGGCACTTGACATGGCACTTGACATGGTGCGTATGCTGCGCATGCTGCGCATGCTGCGCATGGTGCGCATGGTGGAGGGGTCTGTGACCGGACACTCACCACAGGACTCGCAGCGGGAGCCACATGCTGTGGTGGCACAGGCGTCACTTGCCCAGGCGAACTGGGACTCACAAGCCATGCCTTGGGAACAGCTTCCGTAGGAATGTGCTGCAAATACCCGTGCACGTCTTCAAGATTGTGTGACTCTACGTGAAAGTACAAGGCTTTGGGAAACAGCAGTTTCCTTAAACTTGGTTGAAGATGGTTAAAGTATGTTAAAGTGTAATTACAGATAATTACAGTAATATACGGTAATAATTAATAATCTGTCCGTCCATTGAGTCCATTTTGTCCATTGAGTCCATTGGCTTTTGAATCGAATAAGCCGATATCTCTGTTGATGTCTGACTTCCGAGAATGCGACTTGGTGCATGGATGCGGCACTTGCCCTGGCAGGCACTGGAGTCTTCGAGCAGTTTGCTTCCATCTTCCAATTCGAAGAAACAATCACAGCGGATCACAGCAGAATACGCTTTGACGGTGAAGAGTTTGCATCTGAAAGGACAACGATTCAGAGCCAATGATGATAACATTCATTCTACTTCATTGCAAAGCTGCAAAGCTGCAAAACACTAGTGATCTGCTGAAATTCAAACAACTTGTCGCATCCATAGTTCAACAAAAAATGCGCTAACGCATGTCTTTTTCGATATTTTTCATGACCCATCAAGCATCATCAAGCTATACCTGGGAGCCATCGCTTGACCGCGGAAGATATATCGGTGGATTGTTCCTGGATGCTCGGATCTCAGGTCCATCGGACTGTCGGACTGTCGGAATCTCCAAAGTCAAACTATCTCAAAGTGGTCCACGATTGGTCCAGGCCCCTGGAGTCGACGCCACGAAGGACTTCAACATACTTCAACATACTTCAACTTGTGGCCTGCCAGGCCATGAAATTGTCAGGCTGATGGATGGGCGAGGCAACCTCACATATGCCACTGTTGTCCACATGTACTCAGCCTTCTGAAGAAAGCTCTTGTCTGAGACCGCAAGTCCGGAATCATCCTCCTTCCAAAGTTTGAAATTGCCACCTCTCCAGCCACTCCAGCCCAAATAGATCACATCGAAATTGATGGCTTCCTCCAGGCGTCATCTTGCCCTTGTCACCATTTCGGTCAAAGCCAATGTGCACGTCATCCTCAAGCACCAGGGTGGGCTCTTCCTGGGCTGCTGCAAATTCCCACAAGCGTCACACCCAAACACCAGCTGTGTCTCTCCCGGGTTTAAATACTTTGTGGCAAAGCACAACTTCAGCGTAAAATTTTCGCCCGTGGCATTCTTTTGGAGAGTCCCGGTGGGTGGCTCCTTCTCATGAAACGTCGGCGCATCTCTTATGTAGCTGAAGCCATCACCATTCTCAGTGAATTTCCAAGTGTCGTCCTCTTCCGTTGCGCTGCCCACATCCAAGTGCCATCCTCGAAGGCCCACTCGAAGTCTGCGAAGTTGGCATTTCCGGAGGTCCACTTCACTGCCACTTCCTCCGGGATGGTCATCTTGGATCCGAGGCCAGGAAGCGTTCGAATGCGTTCGACCTTTAACCATGGCATTCAGCATCGAAGCGACGCGCTTCCACCTATCTGGTCGCTCCAAATTCACCACCCTAGCGACTCTAGCCTCCAATGCCATGAGTTCTTTGGCCACCTTTGGGACACTTGGTGTCTTTGCAGCTGCGGCTGCGGGGCGCAGCGGGTTTTTTTTAAGGCCTTCATCGTCGACTTGACGGTCCCTTTCTTTGCTGCAGGTTTTTGCGGTGCCATGTTGACTCAGCAACGGTCCCAGTGCTGCGTCTGCAACTCTGACCCCGCAGTGTCAGCACCACTTGTTTCTGAGCCCAAAGTTTGAGCCAGAGCACCAAAGCACCATGTGGAAAAAACGTTGTGTTGGGGTGCTTTAGATGCCTGTAAGTTGGAGCAGCGGAACGTCTACATTCGACATCTCTTGATGATGTGTAATGATGTGTGTAATTACAATAGCACATGCTCCAGGCCGATTGCATGGTTGGTTTTAGGCCACCACCTCTCGGCCTAGATGGAACATCCCGGGATAATTGGGGATGACTATATAAGAATAGCATGAAACAATGAGAAACATGCAATGGAGCGGAAAGGCCCCGTAGAAAGGCTAGCAGCTAGGAAGAAATTTACCTCATTAACTTATTAGGCAATGTTACCGGCACTGCATCATGATGTATCATGACTATCTGAGACTGTCTCAGGGTTGGCCTCGGCCCCACAGTCCCAACAATCCTGCGCAGTGACGCAGTGGAAAGGAGAATAAGGAATCAATATGAAAGAAATCATTGACGAACCAATTGTCATCCAACGCCAGAGGAACTGTCACCAGGCCATCGTAAGGGCAAAAGTTCCCTAAACAGATCTGCCTATACTAGATCATAGGAATCATACTAAATTGTAGTGGTTTTACTCGTAGCTTTGCTGATCTCTGTTGGGTCATGAGAAGACCTGATCATGACTTCACTAGAGTCACTAGAGAGGTGAAATCCACTTCACATTCGCAGCATTTTGCAGCCGTGGTCCTTGGATTTCCTGGCTCGAGCCTGATCTCTCTCGTGTGCGAGCACACCAACAACAACAGGATGACTCTCGGAGCTGAGAAGTAGAGACACAGTTCCCGTCAATTTCAACCCAGACCAAACATTTTCAACATTCAACATCTTTCAACATCTTCCAAGTTTTTCTATAAGTTGATATCTATAATGATTATAATGTCTAAAATATGTTATCTAATTTTATCAAATATATTGCAGTATCAGTATATTTTTTCTTTTTTTCCTTTGGCTTTAGTTTTATGCCAGGCCTGGTTGGCTGCACGTTGATTGGCATCCTCTGCGTGAATCTGCGTGGAACGCAAAGGATCACAACATCACGCGACCATATCACAACGGCCTGTGCTGCGATGTACTGCGACTTTCAAGTGATAATGCTTATAATGCGTTTGTATCACAATGATAAATATGATATATATATATATATCATGTGTAATATCATACTATGGTCAATATTGCATACAGGTGCCTCGGCGAAATGTTCCCGGCGTCAATTAGCCTCGAAATTATGTCGCTGCGGCGTCTTCTCAAAATTAACCCAGCATACAACCCAAATAGCACAGTTTCGCGTTTCCTTTGACGCCAATTTGGTATTGACAGGTGGTCCAATTTAGACAAAAAATCGAGGTGGGCCAGAGAACCCAAAAGCAAGACGGCACACAGCACGCCTTTTTTAAAAAATCCCGTGCTATGGGCAGATGTGCTCTGCACGAAATCGAAGTAAGATCTTTACTGAAACATCGTGCGCATTGATGGCATCAGGGGCCATAATTTGCTGTGTCAGCTACGTCCATATTCTTTTAGTCGCTATTATACTGTGATTAACTATCCCATCTGTGCGAAATGAAAACAAAAACGAAGGAGGGAGTTGACCGAAGGAGGGAGTTGACCAAAAGAGCGTAAAAACGAAGATATATGATGATGACAGATGGTGAATGACAGGTGATGATCTGTGTAAAAGCTTCTGTGTAAAAGCTTCTGTGTAAAAGCTTCCCTGTGTGAACGCCTCCGTGTAAAAAGACTCCTCTGTGTAAACGCGCCTGTGCGTAAAAGCTTCTCTGTGTAAAGATTTCTCTGTGTAAACGCGCCTGTGCGTAAAAGCTTCTCTGTGTAAAGACTTCTCTATGTAAACGCGTCTGTGCGTAAAAGCTTCTCTGTGTAAGACTTCTCTGTGTTAAAGCTACTTTGTGCAAAAGGTTCTGCGCATAAAAGGCTTCTGTGTGCAAAAGCTCCTCTGTGTAAAGGCTTCTCTGTGTAAACGCGTCTGTGCGTAAAAGCTCCTCTGTGTAAGACTTCTTGGTGTAAAAAGCTTCTGTGTGTAAAAGTTTTACTGTGTAAAAGCTTCCTTGTGCAAAAGCTCCTGTGTGTAAAAACTTCTCTGTGTAGAAGCTTTTTTGTGTAAATGCATCTGTGTGTAAAAGCTCCCCTGTGTGTAAAAGCTCCTCTGTGTGTGCAAGCTAAGCTTCTCCTGTGTAAAGACTTCTCTGTGTCAAAGCCCCTGCGTGTACAAGCTTTTCCGTGTAAAACGTGCTCCGTGTAAAAGCTGCTCTGCGTAAAAGGCTTCTCTGTGTCAAAGCCTCTGTGTGTGCAAGCTTCTCTGTATCAAGATTACTCTGTATAAAGACTTCTCTGTGTAAAAGCTTCTGTGTGTAAAACCTTTCCTGTGCAAAAGTTTCTCTGTGTAAAAGACTCTGTGTGTAAAGTCCTGCCTGTGTACAAGCTTCTCTGTGTAAAAGATCCTCCGTGCTCCTGTGTGAAAAAGCTGCTCTGTGTAAAAGGCTTCTCTGTGTAAAAGCCTCTGTGTGTGCAAGCTTCTCTGTGTCAAGACTTCTTTGTGTAAAGATTTCTCTGTGTAAAAACGACTCTGTGTAAAAGCTGCTCTGTGTAAAACCCGTGCCAACAGCAGCCAGCAGCTCCGCATTTTCAGTGCCACTCCCTCCCAGCAGAGCTCTTCCCAAGCTATTTCCCCACCTGTCCGCTCACGCTGATGCATATCCTATGGCTGGGTTCTCGTTTAGTTTGCTTCGCTGCGGGGCCGAAAACCAAGCATCGACGGACAGAACGCCGTGCAAAATGAAAAACCCCTCCAGCAAAGAACTTTTTCCCATGCATGTCCATTTGCCCAGCGTTTAGAAACCATTTTAGAAGTCTTTGGTACCAGTCTTTGGCACCAGTTTTTCGGGACAATCGCGTTGATGGAATTTGTCCTGAAAAATCCGTGCCAACAGCTCTGCTTTTAGTCTCGCTCCCTGCCAAGGAAGCTACAGCTACGCATGTCCCATGGCCCAGGGCTTGGAAACTTTGGCAAGTCTTGGGCGCACAGTTTTTCGGGACAATCGCATTGATGGATTTTTTCCTGAAAACCTGTGCCAACAGCTCTGCTTCTTAGTATGTCGCTTCCTTTCAAGGGAGCTCTCCCCAAGCTATTTCCACGTCTTGGACCCATAGTTTTTGAGGCCAATCATGCATTGATGGAAGTTGTCCCGAAAAACCCGTGCCCCAGCTTTGCATTTTTGCATCGCTCCCTCCCAGCGGAGCTCCCCCCAAGCTATTTCCAAGCTATTTCCAAGCTATTTCCACGCTTTCCACTCCGTCCGCGCTCGTGCCTTTCTTCCTTCCCTTCCTTCCTTCCTTCCCCCTTTCCTTCCTGCCTTCCTTCGTTCCTTCCTTCCTTGCTCGTCCAGCTCTTCTGTCTCGCTACCCTCGCGGCAAAGTACCCCAAAACATCCCTAAACGAGAACCCAAGCATCGGAGATGCTTTTGGGAATACAATTCCTTCAATACCACCAAGACACCAACACACCACAGAAACACAACCAAAACATAAGCAAGGCACCCAAAACATCACCGAACACCGTCAAGACACTTCGGACACACCACCAAAGTGCCACCAAGACACCAACGGCCACCGAAACACAATTGAGAGACGACCAAGACACCAGCAGGACACACACCAGCAATTTCCGAAAGGACCTGCAAACGGTTTTTCCCAACAAGATCCAACAAGTTGTTGCCAGCATACTTTGTCATAATCATCTTGAGACACCACCGAGGCATCACCGAGACGCCACCGAGACTCTCGACATTCTCAAGACACCACGAAGTCACTAAGACACCACCAAGAGACAACCGAAACACCACCGAGACACCGGGACACACCCCGCCCAGGCTGGCAGCCGTAAATCCATGTAAATCCAACGGTGCCCGTCCGCCTTTTAGACTTTAGAGGTACCCCAAGCTATCGATATATTGGGGAAATATCACGAACAGGCACTGAAAGGCATGCAGAGAGCCAAGAGATGGCGAGATGGCGCCCAGCAATGACACCACATCAAGAAAAACGCGCCCTGTCCAACTATCTCTAAACATCACGTCAGGAAATGTCAGGAATGTTGGTCACGCACTGACACGTCCACTTGTCTTACACTCTGTGCAGCCTGGGCTGAGAGTTGGAGGAGAACATCCTGCAGACATAGCATTCAAGCGATTGAAGTATGACATTAAGCATCTGCGCAACATATCATAAGTCATAAGTATCACACTTATGAAGATAGTATAACTAGATATGATGTAACTACAATAGTTTGACTCTGTGCGTATGCGCACGTTGTCGCAGGATATCTTGGCAGTTGCATGTGCTGGAAATACTCTTACTGATTCGTACTGGTACAGTATCATCTGGTATCTTTTCTCATGGCCTTGGTGTCAAGGGCTGTGGAGTGATTTCCAGCATGCTCCTTGCAGACATCATAAAATATCACACGAATTCACCAGCGACATCTGGCGTCTCATATTGTTACACAATGTTACAGATATCCGCTTGGCAAAACCTGCCAAGCCAAGATCATCCCATATCATCCCCTTGAATGACAGGATGTGAAAAAATGTAGCAGGACATAATGGACATATTCAGCTTATTCAGCTTTAGGAGGCACTTGTCTTTTTTTAAATATATGTATATATATATATATAGAAAAATTGAGGCTATGACCTGGCAAAATCTTGGAAAAATGACACGACGAAATGATGTCCATGTCCAAACTTTGTCGCTCCTTGGTGTCAAGGCTTGAGGTAACTCTCTTGGGATGAAGGTCTGTGGCACAACCTCCACAGCACTCCTGGAATCCGATATATCCATGATATCCACATGACTTGCCGTAATCTTACATTATCTTGTGCAGCACTGTGCACTATCTTCCATTGCTTCAAGTGACATTGTAGAAATCCAGGTGAAAGCTGGAAACAGTATGTACAAATATGTGCAGTATGTCGTAAATGTATGCAAATTTGTGTAGAAATAAGATAAACAAATGCGTATTATTTCTAAGATAATATCACACATTATAATATTATATTATATATATATATTATATATATAATTATGCAGATGAGGCAGAGTCCTTGGCGTCAAGACCTGTGGAGCCATCTCCCTTGGTGTCAAGGATTGAGGAGTTACATCCACCGCACTCCTGGACAATTGAGGATCCATGGTGAACGGATGTGAACGTTGTGCCATGTTATGCCGACGCCAATGTTCCTGTGATGTTCGATGGAACGATACTGTATGGAACGTGTGAAGTCCCCAAGAACCTCAACCAATCTCAACCATCTGTCCAAGGATGTCCAAGGTTTAGCTTTTTGCGATTTTAGGGTGCCCGTTTCGAACCACACCCGTAGGGGGTCGTTCTGGCCGGCTTTGAAATCTGTGAGCACTGAATACATTTGAATCATCAATTTAGCTCGCATCACGCTCTCTATCTTAGACTTATGATGACTTACCGACCTATGCAGACAAAATGGCTTGCTTTCGTCTGTTCAGCACAGTAGCACTGGCAATCCCTTGGGTCTGCTCCTCGGTGTCAAGGCCATGTTTTCTCGTCGATGCAACACCTCCATGGAATTCCTGTCAACTTCAGAAGAGACTTCAACGCAAGCACAAAGAACCAGCTCAAAACGCAGTTCAACATACTGTAATGCAACTCAACATTGTGTAACATGATCTACTTCATCAATGCGACAATATTAAAGTATTATTTAATCCAAATCAGTCCACATATTCAGAAAGGCTGAAAAACAACTATTAGTGCATGTCTACGTACGTTCACCCACGGTGGATTTTATAGAAAAATATAGTAAACATTAGAAAACACGGCTTTGAGCAGAAAAAGGGCAGCATGGATCAACCAGGGAATGGTCCTTGTAAGCGGGCGAACTTGAGATGCCACTGTCCTGACAGGTGGTCTCGCAAAGTGCTGCAACGCAGTAACTTGCAAAGAAATGGAACCAAATGGAGCCAAGGTGAAAACATCAAACTGTTGAAAATTCCAAAACTCCTTGGAGAAACTGTAGGAGCGTCACTCCTGACATTGGGATGCTGCAAAAGTCAGTGGCAGAAAGGACATGCAACGAGTGCAACCCATCCTGACCGGCAGGGTTGAACGCTCCACAAAGGGCCTCGAAATAATCAAAGTAGAAATTCGAGAAAGTCACGAAGCATCTTTGGAACGTACGGAAGTCTGATTCAAAAATGCGCCAAGTAATTTCGCCGGAATAGTTCTGACATGTGATGTTATTGTCATAATATAATATAATATAATGTTTCCAATTATTTTATATATATTATATTTATATAGATGTTGTAGAATGTCATAGATGTTGATGTGTTGGATTGTCTGAGGATGTGACTCTTGGGCCATGACGCCTTGAACTCCGCCCTGGACGCCCTGGACGCCGCCTCTGCAAGCGTCCAAGCGGTCGAAGCGGTCGAAGCGGTCGAAGCGGTCCAGCTCGACAGTGCCGACGGTGCCGGTGCCAGCGGTGCCAGCACTGCCGACGGCACGGGCTTCGCAGGCTTCGCAAGGACTTGGACCACTTGGACCACTTGGACCCGGAGCAAATGCAGGCGTTCCGCCGTGAGCTTCGGATTTCTCCTGACGACAAAGGGCTGCATAGTCAAGGCAGTTCAAGGTGGCAATGTGGTTTCAAGATGTTTCAAGTGGCATCAAGTGGCATTGTCCTAAAATGTCATTATTCTTTCAACACACCTTAAATCAAACCACGAAGGGTGATGCAGTCACGATAGTTACACACAGAGAAATTAAATCAAGTTGCCGCAAGTAGTGACGCCCGTCTGTGTGTGGCACAGTCATCAGGTTTATACTTACTATGTACTTATGTCATATCATATGTATATTATATACAGTGTGTTTGCTCTGACTCGCCCAGTTTGCATTTCCTCCGCCTTGCGGCCTTATCAAGAAAGACACTACACACACACATACACACAAAAATTACACATCCGTAGGTGTGATATGAAAACACATTGGTAGTATCATTGAATCATCTTGAATCGTAGCCATAGTATAGCTCTTGCAGCATTTTTGCTGCCCTGTGATATCCTATCAATTCAACAGGAGAGTGTGATGGTGCAACGCAAGCCAACAAAGCAAATCGAGTTACAGAAATGTGGAAACATGGCAGAATTGGTTCTATCACAATTTCAGATCTTGGGCATAGATGTCGATCTCTTTGCGGCTGCAGGATTGAGTTTCTATCAAATTTCACATGAGAAAGGAAGAAATTCGCTCGAATGATCGCGTAGTTCCCTGAAGTCAAGGTTGTGCATCCGAGGAAAGCTTCACAAAATTATACAAAAATTCATGCCACACTCTACCCTCAAAAAATGCTCATCTACACCCCAGGCAACTCTATACACTCTACGCATCCCTACGCCCTATGCGATTGCATTCCCCCCAGACTTCGCCTGGCTAACACTGGGGCAAGGCGAGATGCCTCGGCGAGAATGGACAATGGAAAGCACATCTTGGGAAATCTTGACTCATTGGTCTTGAAGGGTCTCTGAGTTTCTTTCAGTACTTTTCTATACTTTTCTTGAGTTTCAAGCATGCTCGGAAGGACGCGCGTCTAAAGATTGCATAAAACGGGCTTATCTGAAAGGATCATGCAGATTCAATGTGCAGGTTCATCGCTTGGACACATGAGAAAAAGGTCTGATCTTTCATTTGATGAATTAAGTTGGCTGAAACTATCGAAAACTGTTTCTGTCTCACATGTTTGTTTACTGTCTGATATGTTAGCATATATGATACATATTTCTATAATCTCTCCGTGTAATATGCATGCTGTGTGTATCTCTCTCTCTCTCTTATGTGTACATATATATATATATGTGTGTGTGTGCGTTTTTATATGTCTTCAGCGTGTGCAATGCATTTCAGTCTGGTATGGTCTCCAGGAGAGGTTCTGGGTCGCAAGCCTCGGCTGTCACGCCCGGCGCCAAACTGTCGGTACGACCTCGGAGCATCGGCAGAAAACCCGGTCTATGGCACATCCCGAATTTCTATGTCGAATCTATTTGAATTTCGAAGGCATCGAAATCTTAGATGATATGATCTTAAGATATCTTTCAACACGTGTATTTCAAGATGTTTTCACATGGCATGGCCATGGTCTATGGCGTTTTAGTTTATATAAGTTTTAATCTGAACCAGTTTGAACGTTCTCAGATACGTGCTGCTCGACATCAGCATCAAGCTGACGCAGCTCTTCAACCTCGCACGGTAATACCGGAGATCTGCAAGGTTACAACGAAATTACAACGAAACAAGGCTCTGTGATTCTAAGGCTCTTTCTACAGCTCTTTCAACATCCTTCTGCAGGCAGCAAGTGCTTCAACATCCTTCAATATTATACAATAATATGTATATATATATATATGTGGTTGTTGATCAAAATTCCTTTATCCGGGAACGGCCATTCTTCGCGAATAGAAATGTTACTTTCGCGAAACTTTCGCGAACTCCATGTTTATCTTTCGCGGAACCTATGTTAGGCAATCATGATATCGAACTTTCGCGAAACTGTCACGAAAAAACAATGTTACTTTCGCGAACTCGAAAAAACTTTCGCGAGGGTTTCCAAACATAACATGCATGGCTTTCGCAATTAAAACTCCTTAAAAGGACCTTTAGATCGATTGCCATATATAGATATACTAATTAATGTGTATGTCTGTATAATTATATAATATTATATAATTATACATAGTGGAAGGTGGCAGGTGAAGGTATCTTGGCTTCCAGCTGCTCGTGCCCGAAGATCAGGACCTCAGCTGAGTCCGAAAACGCCACCAGGGTCTAGCATGGTCCAATACTGCAGTCCACTGCCGTCTTTGAGCTCGACATGCTTCGACCAAGCAAATCTGCAGCAACACAAAGCCACTAAGCAAACAGGAGGTGCAAACTCTTTGTCTGAAGTTTGAAGATGCTTGAACAGCTAATCAGAAATGAAACATGTTTCCACGGAGAAACGCATGCACATCACAAACGAACACAACAGAAACGTGAAAGAAAATGTGTGTGTGTGTGTCTCTAGATGTGTGAGCAGACCGTCTGTGTGTGTGTGTGTCTGTGCCATGTCATGCCAGGTCCAATGAACGTTTTTTTCCTGTTCTTTTCTGCATAAAATGGATTTAAAATGATTAACATGATTTAACATGCAGAAAAAATCATGTTCTACCCATTTTCTCACGGTTCGTCAGCTCGTCGAGATTCGTCGAGGTACCCATCTCCTCGAGGTCGTAAATGAAGAGCTTGGGGTAAAACCGCTGCAAGGCCCGACCTGACACAGCACAGCACAGCACAACAGCATAACTCTGACAATATCTGGTTCAAATCTGGTTCAAATCTGGTTCAAATCTGGTTCAAATCTGGTTCAATATGTTCAATCCAGCTAGGCCCAGAAAGGTCTAGGAACCCCATGGTCAAAGTGTCAAACATATGTCAAAATGTGTCAAACATGTGACAAGTTGTTGCAAGTTAACATCAACTGATGTCAATGGATGTGAATTGATGTGAATTGATGTCAAGATATGTCAAGGTATGTCAAGGTATGTAAAGTGTTCAAAGTGTTGGTCCAGGGTTCAAGCTGTAGTCCGCACAGCTGGTCAGCAAGCCATCCTCGCACGACAGTCACGAGCCCAGGGCCCAACGATCCCCGTTACCACTCGATGCTGGGGTCACCAGTCCTGCATCGTCCTGTCCTGGTAACATTGTCACTATATGTCACTAATATGTCACTATTTCATACTATTTCGTACGATTTCTTTTTTTGACATCTTCCATCATCTTCTCATCTTCCCCCCAGTCCTCATCATATATTGCCTGACGCCTCAATCAAGGGACCAAACAAACTTTGGAAGCATACAGCAGGGAAACCTGACCCTCTCTCTCACCCTAGGGTGGACATTTATATACATTTATGAATCTATGAAGCTTTATGACAATGAAACAAAGAACTAGATAGAATTGAATCAACTAGATAGAAAGTAGATAGAACTAGTATACATTACCAAAATAAGCAAAAACAGCATACGAGTAAGATTCAAAATTCTCCAAACTGTCACATCCCGTCACCACAAAAGCATCCAAAAGCCAAGAGATGTTGGCTGTTAAGTATGTACTCGAGCCATGATGTGTTCATTCTTGAGGCCTACTGCTACTCTTGCCTCGCCTTGTCCCACTTTATCCCTCTGCAGGGTCTGCGCGGATCTGCACGGATCTGCGGGCCGGACTCAATTGGGACGCCAAAGTATCTGGCGACGTTTTCACCTTGGTGCTAAGCCGCTAAGCTGAATCATGCTGAGTATCGCTCGTCGTTCCTGCTGCAATCCGTGTCATCGTGTTACACATTGCATCATGGCAGTATCATGGCTGAGCCTCCCTGCGCAAGGTCCCGGCAAACTGCGGAGAGCGTATGAAGTCACCCATGTCTGCAACATCGAACCTCCGGAAAAACACATGTTTTTTGCTCGTATGCTGCCATATGCTTGTACAGCATCAACATGAATCAACTGGGTCGCCATGCCAATCATGAAGCAATCCACGGACCTCCACCTGGTGCGACACAGCGACATGTTCCCATGTGTTCATTTGAGACATACTTGAGACATATGAGACCATTTGAGACCATTTTAGACTAAAGAAAATGGATGAATGGATGAATGGATGGAATTTGTGGTCTTGTCAAGCTTCCCCTAAGTTGGTGTGGAAGTTGGTGTGAAGAAGAAAAAGAGAAACGTATAAGATCTTCTATGGTCCCAGTTTAATCAGTTTTACAATCCTTTAAAATCCTCAGCCATGCCAGAATTCTGCGGAAATTCTTGTATGTCAGTTGCACCCGCAACATCTTGCCAGAGACTGGTGGAGGTGCTTGGCCAGGCGAGAGCACCTCAAACGCACTCTGTGATACTTTGTGGATCTTGGTGGTACTGCAGTGGAAGAAGGCGTGTAAGAATAAGTAAAAGATGGTTGTCGCATGTTGTCGCAAGTTCCGACTCTTTCTCCGTTGTCATCATTGGACAGGAGAGCCTGTAGAGGACTGTGGGCGCATGAAAATATGCAAAGTGTGTCAGGCATGTCAAACAAATATTGTCTTAATATTACTTGTAGCCCTATGTACTTCGATGAGAATCATCGTGAAAGCACAACAAGTCACTGCTCAAGTCCTGGTATGGTCCTAGTCACTGCGAGTTGGGTCTCCATGGGTCTCCATGGGTCTCCATGGGTGTCCCTGGGTCTCCGGGCTCCCCCCGCGGCCTTCTCCAGCTCGGCATCGGCCACAAGATCGGCAAGACCACCACCTGGCATGTGCCATGGTCCCAGACTGAAGTTTCAGTGTCGTGAAGCTTCCCTAGCCCCATTCAAGCATGGCTTAACAGGTCATAGAATTTTCGACAATTCACATACGATATGATAAGATATGAAAAGTCACAAGGGAAGAATGACACAACCGTTCTGGCACATCAAGGCACGTCCCATCCAAACATATCAGTAACATCAGAACCCATTCTGTATGTCACCAGGTCTCACCAAGTTTCACCAAGTGCAAGCAGGACAAGAGGGCGATTGGCAATTCTCACAGTTCCCGGAGCTGGAGTTGGCCCTGGCTGTGCAGTGTTCGACTATGCGGCATATGCGGTTTTGCATCCAAAATATCACTATAATGTCCCAATGCAAGTGCAAGCAGAGTAAACAATTTTGGCCTCAAGCACCTTCTCATAGCTAATACTATTTCATACTGATAATATTTCGAACATTTTTTATTAATTATCGAGCAAGATGTCCATGCAGACTTTCATGTTTCATCAAGGTCCAAAGTCTGAAAGTTCGTGCTGAATCGCTGTCACTTGGGCGTCGTGACCCGCCTCCAGGAGGAGCATTGGCCTAGCACGGCACTGAGAAAGCACTGAGTGACCACAAGTGACCAGTAGATCCACTAGGCATCCAGTAGGTATCCAAAGGTTCAAACACACATTTATAACGATTCTACTGAGTTCGCTGGTGTTGATATATGATGTATATGGTTCTTTATTTTACTCCATTGTTTTTTTTTTGGTTTTTGCCAAAACCTATAGCATGGACGTTGCCACAGGTCGTAGGCAGTAACCCGTTTCCTACCTACTATCAAGAACCTAGGGCTTCGTTCACTGCTTGGTGGTGTATTTTTGAAACGAAATCTTCCCATGTAGCAAAAACTTCACACGGAGCAAAAGTTTCACACTGAGTGAAGGTGTCACATTGAGCAAAAGTTTCACACCGAGTAAAGGTGTCACACTGAGCACAACTTTCACATTGAATGTTTCATATTGGGTTTCCTTTGTTGAATGGGGGTTGGTATCGCTGCGCTTGTTCAATGATCCTCTCACGCATCGATCGGTTGTTCTTGTCGAATGGTATTTGCGGTTGTGTAGCATCATGCGTCTTAATCACTTCCCATGCTTTACTCATGTTGTTGGTTGTCCAGAATTGTCGTGGGCGGCCTCGTCTTCTGTGTTCGGTTTCCCGCGGGAGCGCGGATCTTGTGGAGAACGCAGCTTGGTGTAGTGGATGTTGCCTATCCCTTCTCAAGACATGCCCAAGAAGTTTCAGTTTTCTGTCTTCCAGAATTTCGGTTAGTGATTTGATTTGTCTCCCAGGTCCCTCTGATGGCGCGTTGAGAGTTTCATTGGCTCTTCTTTACACATATTCATTGGAATTGTTGCCATGCACGAACGCGGTGTGTAGTTTCAAAATTTTTCGCAAACCCTTTAGTTGGTCTCATTACACAATGTCAGCTATTGTGAGAAAATATGCGGTGATTAGATCTGAAATTTTTGCTCCTTGACAGATCAAGGTGGCGATTGGTAACAAACCATCACACAGCTCACCCCATTCCAGTCCCCAAGGGCGCAGCCTCAACTGCCATCTCCACCCTGAATTGCCAACCTCAAGCAACAGCGTCTCCAACATCAACCATGGCCGTTTCGAGGTCCAAGAAACCAAAGATAACCAAAGGGGCATTTCGAATTTGGAACCGACAGAACAAAGCAGGATGTTCGCATTTGTGGTGTCCACCTTGACCACCCCCGTGGAGCGAATCTGAAATTTTCGAAATGCTTCATTGAGCCAAACAGCTACAGCGCGATGCACAAAGAAACAGGGTGTTGCCATTCACGCGAGATGTAAAGACGACCCTCCAACACTTTAAGCGATTCAAGCCGACGTGCCGGGCCATGACCAGAATATAATCATAAGAGTGTGAAAAGGAGAGAGAGAGAGAGAGAGAGAGCGAGAGGGAGAGGGAGAGGGAGAGGGAGAGGGAGAGAGAGCCAGAGCCAGAGCCAGAGCCAGAGCCAGAGCCAGAGGGAGAGGGAGAGGGAAAAAAGAGAGAGGGAAAAAAAGAGAGAGGGGAAAAAAGAGAGAGCGAAAGAAATGCATTAAACATATACGCACTTGCATGCATAATCATGTATATGCGTGCGTGCGCAAAGGTTACACACACCTTTATTGAAACCATACATACATGCCACTACTTGGTGCTACATAGGATACTGTACCACCACCACCGCTTTCTGCTGACCCCGGCGTGTCAGTGATTGCCGCCGGCACCGCGAAGGACATGTGAGTTGTATTGCAAGATGTTCAGCTCCTTGTACTTGTCTTAGAGGTTTACCCAGTCCCAAAGCGGCGCGTCGTTTTCGTCCTTCTGCGGAGGAGTTGTTTAAGCCTTGTAGCTCGCATAAGAGCCGCGGGCTTGAGCCATGGGCAGCGGGGCGAAAAGAGTTGAGACCTGCTGAACCCGTGAATTGGCACAACTGAACTGCCCCTACTGTACTGATATTACGAGTCATGTCTGGCTAGCATTCTACTCGCAATATATATATATATATTCATATATTCATATATTCATATATGTGACAGAAAGAAAGAAAGAAAGAGAGAGAGAGAGAGAGTAACTATAGATGCAATTACACATGTGGATGTACATGCGTGTGTGCGCAAAGATTACATACATGTATTGAAAATTGAAAACTACACTGATTGAAAGGACGTCGCTCATTTCCCAGGCAGCTGCTGCGTTGCTTTGCCCTAGCTCGCATATCGGGCTTTGCAAACCCACCAGCGGCAAGCCATGTGTCATGCGCTAGTTCAGGAGGAAAGAACAAGGCACATGTAAGCATATAATTAGTTTGTAGATGCCTCAAAAGACAGGACGTACAAATCACTCTGAAGAATTGGAAATGTCCGATGCCAGAACAATGAAAGAATCTGTGGAATGACATGGAATTGTTTGTCTTGGTCTTGGCCGCCACTGCGGGGAATCAGGAAGCATCACTAATCGTTCTACGGTACAGCATCCAGCTCAGGTGACCGGAGATGATGAAGTGACCCAACCTCAGGAATATGCACACACATTCCACACACGCACACACACACACACACGTGTATGTGTATATATATATATATAGGTGTGTGTGTGTGTATACACACGCCAAAATTCAAGACAGCATGTGGGATGCATATTTGCTCAAGACTGGCAACGGTCAGACTTGGGATTTTCAAGTCTGACAGCCGTCAGATTTGGGATCAAAAAATTTAACAAAATAGAAAATTTCCCAGCATCTTGTCCAGAAATGTTCAACCAGAGCCCTAGATTGAAGATTGAAGCGTGGAATAGCGTGGAGCTATCTGAAGATTTCTGGACAAAACCCCTGTGAAATCTTCAATGTTCAATTTTCAATCCACTGGGGGTTGGCTTTCGGAATTATCAAACCTGACAAATCGATCCCGTCTGGGATTTTTTCAAGTCTGAATGCTGGAAGTCTCCTCATTTCAAGTCTGACACGTGCCCTCCATTTCAATGCCCTTGCCGATGGATCATCTCGACGTGTCACAACTCCAAAAGGTACATTTTTTTTGAAAGACATCCCCCCGTACATGCACCCCAATGTCATGAACGCATATTCTGCTGCGTTGCTGATAAGTATATAGTCTGACATAAAACAGCACGCCTGAATGACAATGACAGAAGAAAAGTGGACGGTGCACATGCATCTCAAGGCGGAAGAGTTGACAATACCCTGTGTCTCAAGTTTGCACGGTGAAAATGCTAATCGATTTCAAGGCTGAATCGTGGAAGCACACACGCACTTCGCAGTGGAGGAACAGTTGTTTACAAACAAAGAAAAAAGTCAGCAACTATAATGCATAAGTCAGGTGAGCACGACTTCTGGACCTGTACAGGTGGCCTAGTGAAAAAAATCCGTTGCCCGTGCTTGTGCCAAAAAAAAGAGCCTGCTATGATGCATCCCTGGCTGCTGGAAGATGAAAAAAAAACGACTTGCCACTGGCCATCTGCATATTACCCAAATTGCTCACATCGAAGATCATGGATGTCTAATAGCCGCACGAAAACGTCGCGTCCCACTGTGGCACCTACCGCTTGGCCACTGAAGATGCTGAAACTGTGATTTAGACAATAATTAGATGCTGAAGGTCATCTTGTTTCATTGTCCATAGCCCATCGGTCAATCAGAAGGTCAAACTACAACTTAGATAGTCATTGCTGGAAACTTTCTTGTCACAGTGCCAAAAATCTCTTTAATCGTCTGCCCGCTGACTTTCAATGATTCCAAACAATGTAAAAGCATAGGTTGAGCACATATCGGGGGTATTGGTGGGGAGGTAGCGAATATGTGGATATCTGTGTATATACATATAAACCTTATATATATAGTTATATATATGTGTGTGTGTGCGTGTATGTGTCATCGTCATCATCATCATTCCATGGTCCGGACATGTCAGGAACATGGACAAGTACCATGAAATGATGATACCATGGAGATGGGCTATGATTTTCCTAGGCTCACAGTCTCCAACGGCAAACAAATCACGTTGCATGACAAGTGTTCAAGGATCATTGGGGAAGATTGAGGTAGGGCAAAGCCTTCATCGAGCAAACATGTTTGCAACATGAAATTAGAACAGATCGTGATGATCCTGCACTGTTCACTGATCCACTCTTGATCACTTTCAAAACTTTTGGAGGGTCTTGCTTTGTCCCACCCTCCAGTGTCATCATACTACGCAGCCATACATGAGGCTCAGACTCAATCACGATTCCAGCCATGTCAGACATTTGCCCGTTCCACACATCCAAGACGTCCTCTGGCAGGCCAGTTTAAACAGAATGAGTCTGAGACTTAGCAACGCACACGCAGCGCACCTTGAACATTTGAGAGGATAAGCAGTACAAGACCTGGCGCTTGTTGACGCGGCATTCCCTTGCTACAAACTCATACGAACTCAGCTTGTGAAGAGTCACTAGAAGGTGAAAAAGCTGGCCCTATGCGTCTGTAACATGCCGGTGGCGCGAACAAAAGGGGCAGTCCCAGCACACCAAGGAAAACATACCACACACAGCGAAAGATGATAGCGTCCTGGTTTCTTTGCGTCTCATGATGTGATATTGTGATATAATATCCTTTCCCATTCTCGTTGAGATGACGCATGTTGCATGAAACCTTCACTGCCAAGTGCCACCTGTCCTTGTCACACAAGCGGGGATCGAGAAGAATACGGGCTGGCCACATGGTCCAGGTGACCTGCGACCTGTGACACACCGAAAACATCGGGAAACTCAAGAACTGGTGTCTTTGGAAAAATCTCGGATGATCTAGTCTAGGCAAACGGCAAATGCCATGCTATGGTACCGGCCTTTCTTCTCCATTCTTGTAGGCTGCCTCAACTGAAATGGACAAACCAAAACTAAACCATCCAAAAACATAGGGCCCCACTCGAAACATCTGAAACCAGAAACCTACTTGTCTGTCTATGTCTATGTATCTATCTGTCTATCTGCCTGCGTACTATGAACAAAGGTTGAAAGAACGGATCTACACTTGTGCTTTTTGAAATGTATGTATGTATGTATGTATGTACGTATGTATGTATGTATGTATGTATGTATGTATGTATGTATGTATGTATGTATGCATGTAAGAGTGAATGTATGAATGTATGAATGTATGAATGTATGAGTGAATGTATGCATGTATGAATGTATGAATGTATGAATGTATGTATGCATGTATGTATGTATGAGTGAATGTATGAATGTATGAATGAATGTATGAATGTATGAATGTATGAATGCATGTATGAATGTATGATTATGTATGATTATGTATGATTATATCTGGTTATGTGTGATTATGTATGTTTATGTATGTATGTAACTATCTATCTATCTATCTAACTATCTATCTATCTATCTATCTATGTATGTATGTACGTACGTACGTATGTATGCATTTATGTATGTATGTATGTAGGTATGTATGTATGTAAGTATGTATGTGTGTGTGTGTGTGTTTGTGTGTATTGTGTGTATGTGTGTGTATATGTATATGTAGAAGTATATGTATATGTATGTGTATATGTATATGTATTATGTATATGCATATGTATGTAAATGTGTATATGTAACGTAATGTAATGGCATGGAACGCAATGCAATGCAATTTAATGTAATGTATGTATGCATGCCTGTGTGTGTGTGTCTGTCTGTATGTCTGTCTGTCTGTGTATCTGTATGTATGTACGTACTTACTTCTGTGTGAATGTATGTATATCTGTGTGGAAGTGGAAGTTACATATTTATATATATGTGGTTGTTGATCAAAATTCCTTTATCCCGGAACGGCCATTCTTCGCGTATAAAAATTTTACTTTCGCGAAACTTTCGCGAACTCCATGTTTATCTTTCGCGGGGCTCATGTTGGCCAACAACACCTCTTATGAAGATTCGTTCACCACCTGCCAAATTACGCCAGAGAATCACGGATCACTTCTTGGTAGCCTTTTAAACATGCAGCTAGCATCACGGAGTCCCTTCTCAGGACAGTTTTTTTTGCAAAGTTTACTGGCCCACCCCCTTCAACATGCACTTTGACTTTCGCCCGCTCTTTCGCATAACTTTCTCGGAACTTTCGCGAAAATATCCCTATTCACAGACCCCGGCCATCAGCAGGGGGTGCACTGAAGGAAAAGCGAAGACCAGGGGCCTTGGTGTTTGGCTCTCGCAAAGCCTCACTTTTGGAAACTTGGCTACTGCTACTCGCATTCTCTGGTGCCCTTCTCCTGCCGGACCCCGGGCGGCAGTGGGTGGCAGCCCTTTACATATAATGATTGTAATACCCAACTTTCGCGAAACTTTCGCGAAATAAAATTTTACCTTCGCGAACTCGAAAAAAACTTTCGCGAGGGTTTCCAACATAACATGCATGGCTTTCGCAACTAAAACTCCTTAGAAGGACCTTTAGATCGATCACCATGTATTATTATGTCTATAGACACATTGCATCCTGAACCGTAGCGCGGTGGAAAATGCAGTGCTTGTCAAATTCTTGCCGTTGTCTGGCGCTGCTGAACACGTCTCAGAAAGGCCAGGAAATACAAGAGCAAGGGAGATACAGAGATCAAATCCACGCCGTACGGATTCGGTTCACCTACTTCCTCCAAGCATGTATAATCATGATTAACTGATTAATCATGTATATTCTCTCTTTCTTGAAATGTCTTCATATTCAGACTCTGCACCAAGGCTGGCACGCGAAGCCCTTGCTGCGTTCGCATGACAGGAGCATCAGTCGCTACAGCCTCCTCGTGACATGTTCATGTTTCCTCCTAACATCTTCATAAGGCCCCCCCCAAAAAAAATCACGAACTACATCCAACTGTTTACTTTGGTTTGGGATGGTTTGGAAGAAGGAATGAAAGGAAATAACGGTTGACTGTGAGAAGAGGCATGGCCCAGGACACCCGATACTTCAGGCTTCTCCCCCAATACATTTGCTAAAGCAAAGCTACTGTACATGTAGCTTTCATGACTTTTTATATTATATATATATATTGGTTTTTATTGGTGGGCCATCTGTTTCAAAATCTGGACGTCTTCTGCCGCTGAACTCAACACGGTCAGCAACTGCCAGCAACTGCCAGCAACTATCAACGCGGGTCTTAGCTCAGGCACTGCGAGGTGCTTGAAGATCTCCCCGATGGACACATCTCCCGTAGCCGTCGCCTGGCAATGGCATGTCGCAATCTACACCCCACCGCCGATCATTTCAGACCAAGCCTGGCTTCGAGATATGCTTCGACATGCTTCGACATGTGGCACAACTTTCAACATCTTTCAGCACTAGACTCGTGGTTGGATCCATGGGCTCTTTTTTCTATAGCAAGAGATACCGGTTGTCAAAACCGCAAGCTCTTTGACTTGCCCCAAGAGTTACCTGATGTTACCAGAATCATCTGGAGTCCTTTGTCCCTCACGACAACTGACCGCAGTCCGAGATCATGACTGGCTGGGAGGTCTTGCCAGACTGAGATCCTACTGCCTCAATCTTCTTGACAATGTCCATAGTCTCAGGCGTCACGCTGCCGAAAACAACGTGCTTGCCATCCAGCCACTGGGTCTTCACGGTGCACAGGAAGAATTGGGAGCCGTTGGTGTTTGGGCCGGCGTTGGCCATGGACAGAATGCCTGGGCCGGTGTGCTTCAGAGTGAAGTTCTCATCTGCAAACTTGGCACCATAGATGGACTCGCCACCAGTGCCATTTCCGGCTGTGAAGTCACCACCCTGCCCAGCAAGAATCTGGCACATGATGGCACATGATGGCACATGATGGCACATGATGGCGCATGAATCGACATAGATGAGGCAAACATGGGTCAAGCAGAGCCACGCCAGGCTGCTAAAATGCAAGGAAAGAACATTGGAAAACTTTGCAATCCTCTGTGGCCATCTGTAGCCTACCTTGACTGGCACACGAACATGCACGCATAAAACCTGCTGTCTTACTATTGTTACTATTGAATGGAAGGTCACACCACACCACATCCCACCATATCAGATCTATGATGTGATGTCTTCTTGAGTCTGCTGGACATAGTCTCGTGTAATTCTCACCTAGTTTCCCATTGGTCACATGGTTTCACATGGTTTCACATGGTTTCACATGGTTTCACATGGTTTCACATGGTTTCCCTCAATGCCCAATGCTCTCCTGGCACATGAAGTCTGGGATGACACGGTGAAATGCAGAGCCCTTGAAGTGCAAAGGCTTTCCGGACTTACCCATGCCCTTCTCGCCAGTGCAAAGGCAGCGAAAGTTCTCTGCAGTCTTTGGGGCCACATCTGAGCGAAGTTCCATGATGATTCTGCCTGCAGCAGTACCACCAATAGTCATGTCAAAGTAGACCTTTGGGTTCGCCGCCATGATGTCTGAGACTGTCTAGGAGTCTAACAAGCTGCAAGGCTTTGCAAGAGTCAAGATGATTGAGCCAAATCGTACTGGTGAAAAAAACATGGCCCCCCTGCCTGAAAATTGATGAAGGGCGATTCATGACACTTCAAGTCTTCCGTTTCACGTTGCGTCCGTGTTGTTTGGTTTCTTTCAAACCTTTTTCCCTGCCGTACTGAATAATGTGGATATGTGGATCTATCTGCACTCAAAGCTCTGACCACTAAGGCACTTTCTCACCCTTGCAGAAACCAAGCCGGACAGAGTAAGCACTGCTTTGATGGAAAAGTTCAGTGGTTGCTTAACCTGTGATGATCCTGTCATGATCCATGGGCTCTTTTTTCTATAGCAAGAGATACCGGTTGTCAAAACCGCAAGCTCTTTGACTTGCCCCAAGAGTTACCTGATGTTACCAGAATCATCTGGAGTCCTTTGTCCCTCACGACAACTGACCGCAGTCCGAGATCATGACTAGCTGGGAGGTCTTGCCAGACTGAGATCCTACTGCCTCAATCTTCTTGACAATGTCCATAGTCTCAGGCGTCACGCTGCCGAAAACAACGTGCTTGCCATCCAGCCACTGGGTCTTCACGGTGCACAGGAAGAATTGGGAGCCGTTGGTGTTTGGGCCGGCGTTGGCCATGGACAGAATGCCTGGGCCGGTGTGCTTCAGAGTGAAGTTCTCATCTGCAAACTTGGCACCATAGATGGACTCGCCACCAGTGCCATTTCCGGCTGTGAAGTCACCACCCTGCCCAGCAAGAATCTGGCACATGATGGCACATGATGGCGCATGATGGCGCATGAATCGACATAGATGAGGCAAACATGGGTCAAGCAGAGCCACGCCAGGCTGCTAAAATGCAAGGAAAGAACATTGGAAAACTTTGCAATCCTCTGTGGCCATCTGTAGCCTACCTTGACTGGCACACGAACATGCACGCATAAAACCTGCTGTCTTACTATTGAATGGAAGGTCACACCACACCACATCCCACCATATCAGATCTATGATGTGATGTCTTCTTGAGTCTGCTGGACATAGTCTCGTGTAATTCTCACCTAGTTTCCCATTGGTCACATGGTTTCACATGGTTTCACATGGTTTCACATGGTTTCACATGGTTTCACATGGTTTCACATGGTTTCACATGGTTTCACATGGTTTCACATGGTTTCACATGGTTTCACATGGTTTCCCTCAATGCCCAATGCTCTCCTGGCACATGAAGTCTGGGATGACACGGTGAAATGCAGAGCCCTTGAAGTGCAAAGGCTTTCCGGACTTACCCATGCCCTTCTCGCCAGTGCAAAGGCAGCGAAAGTTCTCTGCAGTCTTTGGGGCCACATCTGAGCGAAGTTCCATGATGATTCTGCCTGCAGCAGTACCACCAATAGTCATGTCAAAGTAGACCTTTGGGTTCGCCGCCATGATGTCTGAGACTGTCTAGGAGTCTAACAAGCTGCAAGGCTTTGCAAGAGTCAAGATGATTGAGCCAAATCGTACTGGTGAAAAAAACACGGCCCCCCCTGCCTGATAAATGAAGGGCGCTTCATGACACTTCAAGTCTTCCGTTTCACGTTGCGTCCGTGTTGTTTGGTTTCTTTCAAACCTTTTTCCCTGCCGTACTGAATAATGTGGATATGTGGATCTATCTGCACTCAAAGCTCTGACCACTAAGGCACTTTCTCACCCTTGCAGAAACCAAGCCGGACAGAGTAAGCACTGCTTTGATGGAAAAGTTCAGTGGTTGCTTAACCTGTGATGATCCTGTCATGATCCATGGGCTCTTTTTTCTATAGCAAGAGATACCGGTTGTCAAAACCGCAAGCTCTTTGACTTGCCCCAAGAGTTACCTGATGTTACCAGAATCATCTGGAGTCCTTTGTCCCTCACGACAACTGACCGCAGTCCGAGATCATGACTGGCTGGGAGGTCTTGCCAGACTGAGATCCTACTGCCTCAATCTTCTTGACAATGTCCATAGTCTCAGGCGTCACGCTGCCGAAAACAACGTGCTTGCCATCCAGCCACTGGGTCTTCACGGTGCACAGGAAGAATTGGGAGCCGTTGGTGTTTGGGCCGGCGTTGGCCATGGACAGAATGCCTGGGCCGGTGTGCTTCAGAGTGAAGTTCTCATCTGCAAACTTGGCACCATAGATGGACTCGCCACCAGTGCCATTTCCGGCTGTGAAGTCACCACCCTGCCCAGCAAGAATCTGGCACATGATGGCACATGATGGCACATGATGGCGCATGAATCGACATAGATGAGGCAAACATGGGTCAAGCAGAGCCACGCCAGGCTGCTAAAATGCAAGGAAAGAACATTGGAAAACTTTGCAATCCTCTGTGGCCATCTGTAGCCTACCTTGACTGGCACACGAACATGCACGCATAAAACCTGCTGTCTTACTATTGTTACTATTGAATGGAAGGTCACACCACACCACATCCCACCATATCAGATCTATGATGTGATGTCTTCTTGAGTCTGCTGGACATAGTCTCGTGTAATTCTCACCTAGTTTCCCATTGGTCACATGGTTTCACATGGTTTCACATGGTTTCACATGGTTTCACATGGTTTCACATGGTTTCCCTCAATGCCCAATGCTCTCCTGGCACATGAAGTCTGGGATGACACGGTGAAATGCAGAGCCCTTGAAGTGCAAAGGCTTTCCGGACTTACCCATGCCCTTCTCGCCAGTGCAAAGGCAGCGAAAGTTCTCTGCAGTCTTTGGGGCCACATCTGAGCGAAGTTCCATGATGATTCTGCCTGCAGCAGTACCACCAATAGTCATGTCAAAGTAGACCTTTGGGTTCGCCGCCATGATGTCTGAGACTGTCTAGGAGTCTAACAAGCTGCAAGGCTTTGCAAGAGTCAAGATGATTGAGCCAAATCGTACTGGTGAAAAAAACACGGCCCCCCCTGCCTGAAAAATGATGAAACAAGGACAGGGTACTAACTGAACATTTGTTCTGGAGCATGTGTACCGCCACATAGCTGAATGGCTTTTTGGTCAAGCATCAAGCGCATCATAGCGCATCAAGCATTTGTTTTTTTCCCTCTATCACAACGGTATCACAACGGTTGCATGTTGCAGCAATGTTGCATGCAATCTTAGATCGACCATTGTGGTGGACCATTTCGGCTCCCAGTCCCCAGCCTGAGGGCTCAACTCTTTCTGCACGTAGTCCACGACGTGCTTCTCCCTCATGAAACGGACCTTCAGTGCGGTGCTGCTTGGCAAAGTCTCATTCAGAGGTGGATCCCTCTGTCTGACCGTAGCGTTCAGATTCACATAGTATAGTTGGCCCTAGATGATGTTTCTGCCAGCTTTGATCAACTTCCCATGTGTTTTTAACTTTCTTCACGATTCTTCACACTTGGTAGGTCGTAGATGGTTGTAATTGGTCGTAAGGTGTCTGTTGTGTGCTGAGAGTGCCACCCGGTTCAGCACTGTCCGCGAGGCTTCGAAATCATCCTGTAGCAACTAAGAACCACCACCGATCTGTCTCAAACCATCATCTGAAAAAAAAAAACATGAGAAAACCTTAGCTTCAATACATTTCAATACGATTCCCAGCTGACATCAGCTGACATCACTCCGACAGTCCAATTAAAGCTTGGCTGGTCCACACTGTTTGACCGTTTGACCGTTGGCCTCAAAAAACTTACTGAGAGGCAGCAGCGTGGCCTCAGGTCCCGACATGGTCCCGACATGGCATCATTAGCTCATGACAGCTGGACCCATGGGGCATGTTGGGACATTCAAGGCAGGGCAACAAAAGATAAGAAAAGGGGGTTCCCAAGGCTCCACTGGTGACTCCGCTGCCTTAAACACAACTTACAATCTCAAACACAACATTATGACTAACCTATTTAACATATTTAACCTATGACAAAATTATTGGGCTCGGGCAGCCGCCCATTCTTTTAAGCCATGCACGAAGGTGGTGCATCCTTGACGTGAGACAGTCAAGGCACCTAGAAACAGCCCTTTGGTAGGGCATAACCCTTTTCAGTCAAGCCCATGGCAGGGCCAAAAACCCTAAACCAAAATGCCCATGGCAGGGCAGCTCTACCAGAGCCAAGAAAGGGCGCCCATGGCAGGGTCGCAGCAAAATGGGCCCATGGCAGGACCAAGTCAGCCAAGTGCCATCAAGCATCAAGCTTGAAACTTCCTTTTGCTTCCTCCCCTTCCTTGAGGGCGGGTGAGGTGGGAGCCACAATGCTACCCACAACATCATAAAAGACTTCACATGTCTGCCTCTCCCAAACAGTCGGAGCGACACTATTGGGCTCGGGCAGCCGCTCATTCTTTTAAGCCATGCACGAAGGTGGTGCATCCTTGACGTGAGACAGTCAAGGCACCTAGAAACAGCCCTTTGGTAGGGCATAACCCTTTTCAGTCAAGCCCATGGCAGGGCCAAAAACCCTAAACCAAAATGCCCATGGCAGGGCAGCTCTACCAGAGCCAAGAAAGGGCGCCCATGGCAGGGTCGCAGCAAAATGGGCCCATGGCAGGACCAAGTCAGCCAAGTGCCATCAAGCATCAAGCTTGAAACTTCCTTTTGCTTCCACGCACCCCACCGGAATAAGCCCGGTGCTCGTTGATGAAAATCGATGAATGCTGTGCCACCTTAAACTTTGCCGCCCAAGTCATCTTTAACCTGGGGATCATAGCCAGGCCATCCGAGATGTAAATGCGGGCCACATTGGAGTTTTTCCACCTCCCACGAATGAGCGTACGCTCCATAAGGCCATGGCTCTGCATCTCGTATGTAGCCCCGCCTCGCCTGAGGCTGTAAGGCCTGAACCCCAGGGATGAGATTTCTAGGGCAGCCAAAATACGCCTGAATAGATCTCGAAAGCAGGAGCCACTTCGATCCCAACAAGGTGTATTGTCAAAGCCCTGAGATTGCCTGAGCTCAACCATGGCAGTTACCGTGGCCAAGGTAGACTGGTCTCGAATGGTGACACTCTCCCTGGTGTTGTGACGGATGCCACTCTTACTAGAAGGAATGGATACCAGTCCCACCTGAGCATCAAGGATAAAATCACAGGGCCTGACCTGCAACAGCTCCCCAGTCCTCATGAGACAGTGGAAGCCCAACAGGAGCAAGGCGGCCATAGAAAGCTCACAGATCGAGATACAGTAGCCCGCCATAGCCAACACCAGGTCTTGGGTCAATGGTGGGGCACGGCAGGGTACCTCATAGCGTCTCCAGATGGAGAAGAGCCGCCAGGATCTGATGAGTTTTCCTTTCGTAAAGGGCTCGAAGTAGTGTAGCCCACTAAGCGCATCAGCTATGAGGTGAAGCGGGGCGCCATCCTCGAATTCGGACTGAATCCAGTCAGAGATAAGGTCGTCAAGCTGTGCCTCCGTATTGACCTGTTCCAAGACTGGACGCAGTCGTGAAACTGCGTGGTGATACCTGTCCAAGGTGGCGGACGTAATCCCGATGTCGGCTAGGACCAAATTCAGCCTGGCGCGACGCCTGTCAGCCTGGCTGGCTAATCCTGGCCAGCAATGATTTCGCTGGTCACGACCGACTGTCATGATCAGTCGGGTTGTCGGAGGATTCGACGTGGATCACGATAAGGTAGATGTCAAAGGCCAGCAACAGCGTCGAGAGTCGCGCCAGCAATGGCTTGAGCATTCGGGATGAAGTCCTACCCTTGGTGATGATGCTCATGCAGATATAACTGTCAGTGAGGTGAAATATTCTGGTTGAAACCTCTCGCAAATGCTTAATGCGCCATTCGACTGCATGTATGATAGATCGAAATTCCAGGCTATTGATATGATCATGTTTGTCCCACCTGTAAGCGAATACCTTATTCCACGCCCACCAATCGGAGGCGGCGCTTTGCCGAGGGTAATTGCGGGGGTTGAGCAAACAGCCACTGGAAATTCGAACATCTGAACCCGTGTGATTCGCCCGTCGCAGCAAGGCAGCATGCAGGTCAACAACCCCAGGCTTCAAGGAGGTGGTTCCATATGCCAATTGACGTTGCAAAGGAATTTTAATAGAAAGGTCACAACAAAAACCCGGTGCCATTCCCATGCGATCATTCAGCATCTTGTAGTCAGGGATGTTAACCCATTCCTTACACAGCATGGCCGCCACAAATGAAAAAGAATAGCAACTAAAGCTGTCTCCTACCAGGCTCTTGCGGACATCTTCAAATTCCTGAGGGGATCTTTTGATGTCATTGGCATTCCAACAGAGGATAGTATGTTCATATCCCAAACCATGAAGGAGTTCTCTTTCGAGGGCATTGATGAGTCTCCATCGGTCACCTTTCCAAATAACAAACTTCTCATGGTATTGATAAGGAGGGAACCTGTATTCGTCAGCCATCCAACGCATTTGTCCATTGTGGTCCACCCTGTGTAATCTCGCCGGTTTTGGTGGCGGGCGAGCCCGCTTGATACTCTTCATGCAAGTAGGTAGGATAGCGCCCTCCCAAAACCCAGGCCAGTCAGCTTCAGGGTCCAGCCATTGAAAAAGCTCAGGGTAAGCCTGGGTAATGCGGACCTCAAACCAGCGCTCTTTTTCAACCACTTCAACCCCGTCCATTGCGACAAGGTCGGTGTTCAACCAGCAAAACCTAGGGCGGTGAATGGGAACCACGTCACAAGGATCCAAGCGAAGCGGCTTGACCTGCAGGGCGCGAGAAATCTCAGCCGCTGCCGCCTCATCCATGCTTGCCACGTTCTCAATAGCGAACTTGACCTTGAAGGCATAGCCAAAGGTTTTCCGAATGTCCTTCAGGATCCTCGGAATCTCATAAAAGAGCTGGCTTTCACTTCCATCCAGGTTAAGCCGCCCAGCCTTGACACTGCTGAGGTCCACGCAAGGGAAGCCTCCCCAAAGGTGTATTTCCTCGATTTGAGGGTAGGCGTAGCGCCATTCCTTGATCATGTCGGGGGTGATTGACCTCACATCCCCCAAGATCTTCACGTGTGGCCATCTTCGGCTGGTAACTCTGTTTGCTGCCGGGTTCAACTCAAAGGACAGGCCGACCATCGGGGTGACACCGCACAAGTCATAGCACCGAAAGGCGCACCCCACTCCATTGAATAGGGAGATTGCCAAAACAGGGATAAGTCGGCCTCCAGACAGGTTAAGGGAGTCCACCGCAGCAAATTCCTTTCCGGATTGGGTCAAACATGTGCTGCTGCCAACCGCTCCTCCAGTGGAGCTAGCGTCACTAGCTGTCGTGGTGGCACTGATCTGGGCCCTCAGATTCGAGTGGATGAGGAGTCCGGCAACACAACAGCCAAACAGCTCTCCTCTCGTCTTGGCCTCAACGGAAGGCCCAGAGGCTTGACCCGAGATGAAGGCCCATGTGCTATCCAGCCACCCCATGGCGGCGCGTCTGAAGGCCATGCAGTGGACCCATCGGCCTGCAATCACTTGCGTCCATTTCTTTCGCAAGCGATGTTTCCCAATGACAACCAGCGTGGCCTGGATGAGCTTCAGCAACCTCTCAGGGCTAGGGCCCAAAGTTCCCTCCAAACCTTCAAATTGCGCCCCCAGCTCGTGAGCCTCAGAAGCGCCAGCGACCCGCTTCTTGGCCGACGAGAGCACGCCAGCAGAACTCCAGGCGGCCTCCAATTTCTCGTGCATTTGCTCCCCTTGAGCGCTCTTGCCATTATCCCGAACCTTGCTCATGCAGCAGAAATTGTCGAGATATACATGGTACCAAGGCTTGTCCACCTCCTTGGCATCGTCGAGAGTCTGCGTCAGCCAGCCTGGAAGTGGCATGGATCGCCGGACCTTATGAGAGGAGGGCAGACGGCCGATAGTTGTCAGCCGGTCCGCTACCTCCTGCATTACGGCCACCGCGGAATGCCATCCCATTGGGATGACTGCACATCCCGGCCGGTACCAGACGCCCGCCTGGAGCCCAAGGCTTTCGCCAGAAAAACACACATTGAAGCTCAGCATCCTTGACCACCCTGGAGGGATCCTGAATAGATAGAATGCTGAAGACATATCGCTCTGGAAAAACCTCAATGTTTCATCACCATTCAGTACCAACGACAAATATTGGCAGATTGACGGTAAATCAGAGGTAGCTCCTTCCAGTTGCTTAAAGCAAGCGTTAGAGGGTACCAAATTCATTATGGTACGCTGTACTTCTTCCCCAGAGTCCAAAAAGGATCCTTTTCCCACAGCGAACATCCCGTTAAGGACTTGCTGTCCATTGACCACCAAAACATCTTGATCGGCCACCCAGGTGCAAATCCTACGTTCAACGAGCAGTTTGAAAAAGGACATGGAGTGACATGGGTGCACATGAACTTTGGCTTGAAGTTTGACCCCATCTTTAGGCCTGTTCAAAAGGGATTCATCAGGGTGCTCCAAAAACCAACGGGTCCCTTGAGAAACCAAACCCAACGCGTCAATAGACCCTCCATGACTTTCAGGGGGAAGGGCAGCGAGTGCCGCCTCAAAAGAAATCACCTGCATTTTGGGGACCTCCTCCCCAGTATAGCTCAGGAAGCGGCTGGCCAGCTCTTTTTCAGCTTGCGCAGGCGAGCGGTCTAAGCGCAGGTCTGTTGCCAGCGCTCTGGTGGTGCTGCGGCCAATGGTGTCGATGGCCCTCTTCTGGACTTCAGTGGCCTTGCGGTCACAGGGGGCTCGGCCAAAGCCAGCCGCACCATTGAGTCCAAGTATACCCAGCGCCTGCCATATTTCGGCAGCTGAAAGGCCTGCAAAATGCGGCCTGCAAAAATCTTCCAGCCGGCTAAGCTGTGCAGCCTGCTGTACTTTCGTCAGCGCCCCCAAAGGAAGGGGAAAAATGGGACGACTTCTTTGAGAAGTGCCCCGGTGCATGGCTTCGCGGTCTTTGAAACGACCCATCACCATATACCTGACTGTAGGAGTCACGTTCCTCTCCGATTCCAACCTGGGGAAGTTAAACAGAATCCAAGCCATAGCTCTCCCCAGGGCGGCGAAGCTCTGACAACGAGCCGCCAGCATCCTGAAGATAAAACATCCCTTTTCCAGGTGCATCGGCAAGGGCACGGACTGCTCCAGCCCATCTTGCAAAATATGCATCTCCAAATTCTCAGTGGGCTCCAGAGGCGCCTCACCTACTTCTTGCTGGCGTCCTCCTTGTTCTCTTTCCAGGGGTTCGGCTCTCCTTTCGACGACCCCCAGCTGTGCTCTTTGGTTCCGCCCTTTCCTTTTCCTCTGCCCCCGCGGCCCTTTGGGTCGCCTTTGCGTCCCTTGTCTGCTTTGCCCGAAGCTTTTCCGCGCCCGCCGCCGGACCACCATTGGCCTGTGGCAGGATAGCCCTGGCTCTTCAGGACCAAGCGTCTGTGCTTGTGGGCTTCGAGCATGGTCGCGGTTGAGGCTGAGGCGGTCGGCTCCAATGGGAACAGCTCGAGGTAAGAGGCTGTCGCCCAAGAGCCTTCGGCCAGGGCCGTGTGCACGGCCATAAACCGGGAGGCGAGTGCATCCGCCGTCTCCGGAAGTTTCCCACTCCTCAGGAGATCCATCGCTTGCGCGAGCGCAAACAGCTCTCTGAGGAGCGGGGATCCTGGGGCATGGTAAGGCCGAATCAGCAGGGCGAAATAGGTCGCCAGCTTGATGCCCGAAACCACCGAGTGGTCGCCCGCCTCGAGGTCGATCAAGCTGCCCTGATCCATCTGTTGCTGGGCATGCTTGACCAACATCTCCATTACTGATCCCGGCTCGCGCATGGCGCGCTTGCGCAGTGGGGGCTCGAAGCTTAACTCCGAATCGCTGTCGCTTTTGCCCCTCTTGCGGCCCGCGGCCGGGCTGCTTGAGCTGGAGGACCCGCTCGAGCCTGAGCCATCTGGGGGATCGGGGTCTGCTTTGACCTCCTCGTGAAGCAGCCTGCGGTGGCGATCCTTCTTCTTTTTCTTTTTCTTGGACCCCCCTTTTCCCTTCAGAAGTTCCACCAGCTGATGAAGCGGCGAGTCCTTCTCCTTGGCCTTTCTCTTGTCTCGACGAGCCTTGGCCTCTTGTGAAGTAGCCTGCACGGCTTGTGCCAGCAGAGCTGAGGCCGGGTCGTTCTTCGAGCTCAATCTCTTCACCAATTGTGTCGTACCAGAACCGCTTGTAACCTCGGGGCCGGATCAATGGGGTCTGCCGATAGGGGTTGAGTGAAGTCCCGGCTCCAAGACGCTTCTTTGCCAGAGCAGAGGCGGTATCGCCTGCTTGAACTCCACCAGCAGCACCCTCTGCGGGCGGGGCACGGGGAGACCCAGCCCCACCTCCGAGGATGCGCTCCTTGGTGCGAGTCAGCAACGCCTTCAGCTCCCCATGCCGTTCTTTTCCATGACCATCTGAAGTCAACTCTTCGTCTCCATCCTCTCCTTCGTCTGAAGGTATGGCAATCACAGGAGGGGACGCCTTCCGCTTCTCGCTGGAACGCAGGGCAGACTTGCGCCGGGGAGCTGCAGCAGGGGCGGAGGCCGCCTTCGCCGCTCTTTTTGCAGCCGCATCGGCTTTCTTCAAGAGAGCCTTCCCAGCGGCGCTGATATAATCGGCCCCAAACCTGTCGAGGGTCCAACAACGGACTCTGGTGGCGTGTATGACATAGATATCCTCGGCTCCGCAAGGATCTTGTGGGCATAGATGAACTGCTCCTTCCTCGATATACTGCACCACTTGGTCTGTGCGTTCTGGCACTTCGCACCCCAGGCAAGTTCCCATCACGGAGAGTCCTGAGGTACTGTCCCCTGAGACCTGACTCACGAGGATTGCAAACCAGCCCTCGCTCGCCCAGTCTATGGAGCTCCCATGAAGCCCCACTTCCAAAATGCAGCCTTCCGGAATGTGGAGCCTTTCCCATTCGGGTGTCTCGCACAATATCTCTTCCCCTATCTCGACCCCAAAATTCATCGGGGGAGGGGCTCTCTCCTCTGTCTTCTTTTTTGGCGCCATCGCACCGGCTAAGGGGGCGAAGGGGCTCGGTCCCAGAAACTATCTGGGGGCCGGTAATGAAACCGCCTGAACGGGTCTTCAGCCGCCTTGTGGTACTGCTGATGCTTGCTCCCTGCACGGTGTTGACGGTGCTTGTTCTTTTTCTTCTTCTTTTTTGGCTCACCACCCGGCTCGTTCTCGTAAACACGGCGGTGCCCGCCCCGTCTACTCCGAGACCTGCGACGGCGTCGGCCTTCCCCAGAGTGAGGACGATGTTGGTGATAACCTTCCCGCGAGTGGGCCCGACTCTTGTCAGCCTCACCTCGTGTCCTGTTGGGATCCCGGTCAACGGACTCTTCAGGATGAGTCTCGCGATCGGACGCCCGGCGATTCCCACTGGACCGCGGACGAGCTTGTTCCTCCTCAGGTGGAGGGAGATGCTGCTCCTTTGAAGGGGCACGACCGTAGTCAGCCTCCTCTTCTGCCGGCCGCTGGTCGTCTGAAGGGGCACGACTTTGGTCAGCCTCCCTCTTGACCGACGACTGGTCCGAAGCTCTACGCCTCGGCAGACTTTCGCGTCGATCACTTTTCGCCTTAGGGGCCAGTGTAACCCCGGGCGGTGCACCTGGCAGTCGGCGCTCCTTCTCCTGAAGGCTCCCCTGTGTCCTCGGTGTACTCGGAGCTGTCTGCGTCCTCCTCTTTCACGGCCGCCTTAGGATGAGGAGGTGGCGGTGGAGGCTCAGGGGCCGGTGTCGCGGCTCGGCCTGCTCCCTCACCAGCCGCGGCAGGAAGAACCGCCCTAGCTGGGTAAGCAGGCCTCGAACGCCCGCCACCAGCGATCCCGAGCCTGCGCAGGGCCCTCACCTGTCGGGTGGCGCTGACAAGGAGGTCAGTGGCCAGGGCACGTGTCCCGCCAGTCCCCCAAGCCAGGCGCAATTCCCCGGTGATAGCCTCCACCGCCGTGCACGCCAAGCACCAAGTATCAGAAAGATGTGGATCCCCTTGTCCACACTTGTTGCACCTCTTACTCATGAAAACTTGAGCCACAATGCTACCCACAACATCATAAAAGACTTCACATGTCTGCCTCTCCCAAACAGTCGGAGCGACACTATACCAAAATTTGACAAATGGGATACGGGTCCAATGTATCCTGTGCGTAGCAGAAAGAAAAAAGACAGGCAAGTTTAAGCGACATAGGTGCCGGTGTGGAGAAGTGCAGATGGAACAGATGGATCCGAAAAAACATGGAGTTGGCGAAGAACAAAAAAGAAGGACGGTCTGGACATCCACCAAGCCGCAACAGAGGTTAAACCATGTTAAACCAACATCAAGAAAATTAATGTAAACATCGGATTAATCAACCCCCCCACAAGGTCAGATTGACCTTGGAAGGTCTTTCCTAGTTTCATCCCTAAACAAATGCCCTCTGAACCATAAAATTGTGGATATGGCTTGGAATCTATAGAAGTCAATTAGATGTTCATAGAATTCCATTGGATTTGATGAGATTTGATTGACTGAAAACATTGGCTGAAAGCTATGGAGGACATTGGGAATGAATGGGATTGAATGGGCCAATCCAAAGAAGAAAACATTAGGGACATGGGGGTTGATTAATAAGGGGAACCCTGGTTATTAATGGGGAACATGGGCTCATGGGAGACACCCTTTGGGATTTATCCGATGATTTGTATAAAGAATCTAATTAGAAATCGATCATTTGGGGAATAGTTTTTTTCAAATGTTCAATGATCAGAAGTGATAGGTTCTGGTGGTCATGAGGTTTCAACTTAAGTATAGCATAAGGAAACCATTTGAAAATGGAGAGTTGGAAAATAAAACAAAACCATATTTCAAATTAAACCTCAAGTATAACAATGATGAGTTCTGAGATTGATGAGACATGATGACAAACAACAAGAATTGGGATTTCAGCACTGGTGGTTGATTAATTAGGTCCAGGCAACAGAGTTTCTTAATCCAGGGGGGCCAACTGTTTTTAAATTACCCATTTTTTTGGGGGCAGTAGAAGTTGTTTAATCGGGCGGTATTGATTAATCCTACCTTGACATTAGATAAAAACGTGTGAAAAATATACGTATGACACACACAAAAAACTGAACACAAAGCTGAACAAGTACTGAATTCAGAGCCAAGACATAATGGAAGAGATTAGAGTAACAATAATGTACACCACCCTGCCTGGGTGTTCCCAGTAGATGTCCTTTTCTGAATTGTATTTTGGTGCTTGTCTGATTCGTTGATCCTTGTTCATCTTTGGATGTTTCTCAGTTCATGCCTTCCTTTGTCTCTAAGATACTGTAAGATACTGTAAGATACTGTAAGTACGTGCAAACTCGTTCAAGCTGTCAGCAATTTGGGCATCCAAAATGGTCCAACATCAACCGTGCATGCGCAGCGGCACCTCGGTGTCATAAGAGCTGAAGAGGAAGATGAGAAACACAACGGCCGGAATGAAATAGAAAACCGCTACCTGGCGCGTGGGCCAAACATGGCCAAACATGGCCAAACGAAACATTTCTGCAATTTGCACATCGATGTCTTGCAGCTGACATTTCAATAAGATTCACCATGATTCACCGAAAATACGTCTGCACTGGCCTGGTGAGCATCATGCAGGACGTTTGCTGCCATAAGCTTCCTGGAAACGATTTGACTTGGAGAATCAGATGTTACGGAGATTCTCTGCGATTTCCAGCTGCATTTTACTGCCATGAATGGCTGCATCATGAAATGTGGTCCGCTTGGGTATCTTGGGTGTGTCTTTCCACATTTTCCCTGCAAGAGATCTGTTGACATCTGCTGTTTCGGAATGTGCGGTGACAGGGCGGTGACAGGGCGGTGACAGTTGTGAAAAAAATGTGGAAATGATGTGGAAATGCAAGGCATTGCAAGGCGCACTCTGCGCTGCTCGCCAAATCACCCAGCTTCACAAGGTGAAAGCACTCACGGTGTGCCTCGGCAAGTGTGGTGTCATTTTGTTGTCACTCCGAGGTTTCCTAGTGGCATCTAGTGGCCAACATTGGCGGCCAACGGCCCACTGGCCTTGCAGATTTTTCAGATCCATTCCGTCAGTTGGTGCAGTCTGTTCCTCTGGTGTTCAAATCTATGCTGAATCTCATCACGTAAAATGGCCAATCAGTGCGACATGCTGAGGACAAAGCAAGCCAAATGTTCATAATGAAATGAGGCAAGGCGTTCACCAAGCACCAGAGCAGCAACCGAAAAAGAGAGTCCTGGCAGCAGCCCTACAGCAGCTTGAATCGATTTTGGATGATATGAATAGCATGGAGACTGTAAATCCCTGCAAGAGTGAGAAATATTCATCACAGCAACCACATGAAAATTGAAGAACCAGGATGGATTCCTATAAAATTTATAGAGTTGTGCCGAACTATATTGAGTGATTGAGTTAGACCGAGCTCATTTGCATCTCAAGCAATCACACACCATGCCGCACCTGTGAAGGGAGCAATGGCTCAAAAGAAATCAACAGATCGTGCTTCAAGAGCTGGTAGTAGAGGCGGTGGTTCAAGACCATGCGTGCCCTTTGCTGCTTCTGCTTCAGAAGGCTTCACTCATCTCTCCGTCTCTCCATGAATGAGAAAAGATGAGAAAAGCCAGGGATGTCATTGTGATTCCATGTGATTTCCGACGCTTTGTGACTAACTAACCGTGACTAACCCTGAGTCTTGCAAATGCACTGAGACCGAAGCGCGATCATCAGCGAGACAGCCATGGCCAACAATGGAAAGCAGCGAACATAAGCCTGCACCGAAAACTCCAGAAAAAATAAACATCATAATTTTATTGAATCATTGATCCGTTCTGTCACAGCGAGAAATACTTCCGGGATGAGGAAGCTGGCAAAGGAAACAAAATAAACAAATGACACTGAACAGGGGCTCACCTGGCTATCTGCTATACCTCACCAGCTGTACCATTGGTATCCATTGGTATCCATTGGTACTATACCAGGACCATGCAATGGGACTGCACCGGCACTACCAGACAATCCCAGACATCCCCAGACATTGCATAGGCCCATAGGCTCCCATCCGTGGTGAACCCAGCATGTCTCCAACCCAGGGACCCAGTTGCGATGGCCCGAAGCCTTCGTGTACTCGCAGAAAAAGGATAGATAGGTCCCACACCTGCACACGTCAAGACACTTCATCTCCCAGGAAACAATTTCAAACGGCTCAACGTTTTTCGATATAATGTGAAGATTGACACTTGCTCCAAAGTCTCCATGTACAATGTGAAGTGGCAACAGTTAGTGTCGGTCATGTTCGAAATGATTCCGAGAATAGCATGGCATCGCCATAGAATCACCATGAAACTCTCATGGAACTCTATGCCCGCCTAACAGGATCACAGTTCATGATGTTTTCATGAGAGTGAGGTCCCAGTACCTGGCGTCACTGGGCAAAGCCGGGCAGATACCAGTCCCATCCAGTCCCTGAATTGTCTGGGACCAGACACGCCGAGATAAGGCTAGCTAGCGGGGCCTTTTGATGTCGTTTGAAATTTGAAATGATATTTGTATATTTATTTTTGATGCTGAATCTTTCGATGGTCCACGTTGCACATTGTTGCGCAAATGGAGACGTTTCGAATCGTTTCGAGTTGACGACAATGCGACTACAATGAGCCCAGGCCTGAATGATAATCAACAGCAATGCAAAGAGCTGCCGCCCTCGGCAAATGGCAGTGACACTGCCAGTGGAGAATAATTAAAACGTAATGTAGTAGCTATCTATATATATATATAAATATATCTTCACTGTCATCTTTGATGATACTTTTTGGTTTGCAGATGTTTGCAGCCAAATCCTCTTGAATTCTGATAGCAAGATGCATCAAAATCATCAAACATTTCCCAATCATTTCCATTCATTTCCAACCGAATGCTGAGCCTGTGCTGAACCACTGAGCCTAGTGCCAGCTGCCAGGCCAGCTTCAAAGAAAAGCTGCAACGGTTCCCTGGCACAGCTGCAGAAATACTGAAGTCATCTGAAGTCATACTTTGCTTTCGGGATGTTTTGGGATGTTTTGGGTCTTAGGAAGAGTTCTACTCAGCAATGCGCTGTTCTGAGAATTGGGAAATTGATGGTGCGGTTTGGGAAACATGCACAGAGTACCACTGCACCCCCACTAAGGTCCTTTTAAAGTTTTCACAGTCGTTGAGACGTCCTCCGACTGTTGCAATTTGGCTCAAGCCAAGCCATTCAATTGGCTCAAGGGCCAATCAACTGACTGGCTCAATTTACCGAGCCCAACTTGGAGTGAAAAGGTGCACTTGCATCTGCCTCTTGGTGGGGACCTCCGGGAAGGGTCTCGGTCATAGTCTGAAACCCGTGGGTTATGAGCCCAACCCCAACGCTGCCTTGAAGCAATGTCGAGCAGCGACTTCACTCAGCGTCGTCGACAAGAACGCCAAGTTCAAGCGGCTGCTCATGCTGAAGAAGTACAACATGGGACCCATGGACATGGAAAAGAAGAACGCGCGGAAACGGCAGACCAAATGCTGGACCGGCTTCTGGAGGAGATGGACGCACCTGGACAAGCACATGGGGAAAGAACAGGGACAAGATCATCAGACTCAACCCGAAGATCACTGATGGAAGGGGAAGTTGGAGAAAGTGTGATGGCACTGACCGGTGCTGGGGGAAGTGGAGCCCTAGTGCAGGTTGCGGCGGTCCGGGCTGGAGCGGGCGAACGAATCGCCCAGAATCCGGCTGTTGCGGAAGAAGTCGCAAGACCAGTGTCCTTACCACCTGAAGAACCTCCTGGACTTGAAGTGGTACGAGGAAATGGGAGTGGCGGTCTGTTGTCTGGTTTGACCCCAGGTGTGAATAGTCTAACTCTTTCGGGAGTGCCTATGACACAAACACCAGTAGTTGCCCGGATGTCTGAGGGATTTCGTGAACCACCTGTTGTGGGTAATCGAGAAGAAGGACAGGGTGGAAAACACCAAAGCTCAACTGAAGTGGGTGGAGGTGCGGCTGCTGTTGTGGAAACCGTTGCTCTTTTGGAGCGACCGGGACGTTCACCTGTTGAGTCTCCTGAAGATGCACGCGTCAAACAATCGGTGCCAGCGGCACCAACAGGCTCACCTGTGATCTACCAGCCAGCGGGAGCACCTGTGGTGTATACCGCAACTGGTGGAACACAGGGTTCGCAAGTAGCTGGGATGTCCCAGCAATCCATGTGTGCTGGAGTGCCACCTACGGGAATGGTGCCTCAGTGGGGAACGGCGGTTGTGGATCCTGGGATTGTAACCGGGGTCATGGCTGCAGAGGAAACGAATCCATGGAGTGCTGCCAAGCGAGTGGAAGCTCTAATGAGCAGTCCACAAACTCCAGTGAAAGAGCTGACTTATCCCATAGTGTCGCAAGACCTGATTGATCAGGCGGACGCGAGGGAGAAGGAAAAGTATGAGGAGTTGAAACAGCAAATGATGGAATTCTTTCAACGGGGCAAGACCGAGATCCAACAAGATCGAGAAAATTGGTTAGCCACGCGGGAAGAGAAACGTGCCCTGGAACGGGTCCGAGAAGCCGGAGGAGGTCACAAGGGCTCTCAGTCAAGTGGGGGGTCTTATCAAACCGCCTCGCCGGAGCTGAAGAATGTCGAGCAGGGTTTTCCTGTGGGGCCACCTCAAGGTGTTCCACCCCAGGTACAACATGTGCAAGATCAACCAGTTCCAGGAGTTCAACATCACCATGATCAAGATCTTCAAATGCAGGCGGGAGGTCAGTTGTGGAATGTTCCTCCTGCGCCCAAGGTCGAACAAGGTTTTCGGCCGATGGATGTGTACATGAATCAAGGGTGGCTAATTGGAATACCACCGGGAGGTATGCCGCAGAGAGCGGCGTCAAGACCACCGATGGGAGTTCCTTGCATGGGAGCCACGGAAAACACAAAACACTTTTTCATCGGTGACCAACCTAATCAATGGTATAATCCTCAAGTCCAAGTTGGAGGAGCACCTGCAGGACAAGATCATCGACCTCAAGGGGTTTTTGCATTTCCGGGAGGAAACACCGGACCTATGGGTGGTTATGGTTGGCCAGGGGGTCCACCGCCAGGGCAGTATGGAAATCCCGGACAAGCACCTGGTCCGCCAGGTGGTCATCAGGGAAATCCCGGTCTCCCAGGTGGTCATCAAGGAAATCCAGGACAAGCTGCACCGCCACAACAACAACAAGCTGTAGTCCAAGCAGGACCTCAGGCAGGGGGAGAAGTACCAGGCAAAACGCTAAGATCGGTCGAATTGCCGAAGCTGGACAGGAATGCAACATCTTTGGACTTTGGAGACTGGCTGACAGTTGCCCAACAGATGATTGGGGATGTGAGCTACACCTCAGAGCAATGGTGGGAAGTAGTGATGACTGCTGTTGAACAAGCATACCACCACTGGTTGCAAGCGGATCCACTCATGAGGCTCCGGATGGCGCCTGTGATACCTGACATGGCCCGTAGGTGGCCTCGCACAGAGAAACGGGTGGTGGGTATGCTGCTTCAAGCCGTCCCCAAGGACATCTACGAGGACCTTGTGGCGAACAGACACATGTCAGCGGGTCAAGTCATGTTCAAGCTGTACACCGTCTTCCAACCTGGGGGACAAGTGGAAAGAACTGCCCTGCTGCAAATGTTGGTGGACTGGAAATGTCCATCTAATAATGCTGCAGAGATGGTCAACTCCATCCGGAAGTGGAGAAGATGGGTGGTTCGTGCCGAAGAACTTCAATTGGTTTTGCCCGATCCTCTGGTTTTGGCCGGAGTGGTCGCAAAAATGAGTGATGCCTTGGCCAGATTGGGGGGAGCTCAAGCTGCCTACCGGTTGTCTTCGGTGAGACAGCATTTGGGCATAGATCTCCGGCCGGGAATGCAAGAGATCAGAACGTTTTCTGAACTTCTTCAAGCTGAAGCTGGTGAAATGGCTCTCCGTCAACCGGGGAACATAACACAGGGCCCAGCGGCTAAACCCAATAATGTGGTAGGGGTGAAGTCAATGAGTGGGCCGGATTCATCTGGAAACCCACCAAAGGGCGCTTCAAAGGGAAAACCAGAAGACGCAGCAGGTTCTTCCACCGGAAGGAGGGGAGAAAAGCCCGAGCTGCCGATTAACGCGGCTAATGTGGTCCACAAGACTGCGTGCATCAACTGGCTGACAGATAAGGGATGCCAATATGCTGACCGGTGCCGATTCACGCACACTGTCCTGGACTCCAAAGATGGCCGATGTTTCAACTGTTCTGGAAGGGGACACTCCCGACGTGATTGTCCGGCGGGAAAACGAAGTGAGTCACGAGGTCCACAAGGTGGATCCGAGGAACCAAAGGTGGCCAAAACCACAAGAATCCGCTCAAGATCTCAAGAGAGGAAAAATGGTCCTGGAAAAGAGGGAGGTGCTGCTCAAGAACATTCTGAACCTACCGTGAAGATCAATCCGATGAAGGAGTCCACGGTCACTATAACCCCTGTACCAGAGGAGGCCAACAAGGTTGTGGGAGAAGTGACCAACCTTTTGAAGGGTCTCAATGGACCGGTCTTGAAATCGGTGGGGCATGGTGGGGATCATCTCGAAGTTGAATTTGATGATGGAACAGGTTTATTGGATGGTGGGGCGACACACCCCTTGAGACAGGGATCAACCGAGGAGATCAAGAACGCGGTGCAGGTCACTGTGGAACTCGCACATGGAGCTGCTCAGCTCTATCAAAATCCTGT